TGAGAGACATGGGGGAAGATCTCTCTGTGAATCTACAACTCTCAATAAAAAATTCAATTAAACAACTGCATACTGGAAGATGAACAGATGAAGAAAATGGGATAGTCACTTGTAATGGAATATTACTCAGCCTTTAAAAAGGAAGAAGGAAGAAGGAAGAGGGTGGGAATTGCGCTGCAGCAGGTCAAGTTACTCCTTGAGGCACCCACATCCCGTATCGGAGTGCAGGTTAGAGTCCTGTTACTCCGCTTCCAATCCCGGCGAATGCTCCTGGGAAGGCAGCAGGAGATGGTGCAAGCACCTGGGTTCTGTGGGAAACCCAGATGGAATTCCTGGCTCCTGTTCAGCCTAGACAAGCCCTGGCTATTGTAGCATTTTGGGAGGGAACCAGTAGATACAAGATCTCTCTGTCTCTCCCTCTCTTTCTGTCACTCTTTCAAATAAATAAATAAAATCTTTAAAAAAAATAAAAAGGAAGAGGAAGGCATTTGGCATGGTGGTTAAAGTCAATCATATCCCATACAGGAATGCCTGAGTTCAAGTCCCAGTTCCCCTCCTGATTCCAACATCCTGCCACTATGCACCTTGGGAAGCAGCAAGTAATGACTCAAGTGGTTGGGTTCCCGCCACCCATGTGGGAAATCCAGATTGAGTTCCTGGCTCCTAGCTTTGGCCTGACCCAGTCCCACCTGTTGCAGGCATTTGAGTAGAAAACCAGCATAGGGGAGATCACCTGGTCTGTCCACACTACTCTCTTTCTTTCTCTCTGTTCCTCTGCCTTCCAAATAAATAAACGCATTAAAAAAAAAAAAAAAAAAAAAGGAGGAAACACCATGGTTCAACTCAGGAGGATACTAAGCAAACGATCTAGGCCAAGGGCAGAAAGACAGATACTGCATGGCCCTACTTATATGAGGTATCTAAGATCATTAAACTTCGAGAAGCAGAGAGCAGAGTGGTGGCTGCAGGGGCTGGGCCTAGGGGAAACAGGGAGCTGCTGTTCAGTGGTACCAAGTTCCGGTTATGCAGGTGGCTCAGCAGCACGTGGACAGTGCACTGGACTTCATGATGGGTGAGTTCTAGAGATCTGCTGGCAAAAATGGCCTACAAGCAACAATAATATATGATGCACACCAAAAGAAAAAACCTCATTTAAGTGTTCTTGCTTCAATTTTAAAAACTCCTGTAGGAGTGGACATGTAGCCTAGCAGTGAAACAACACTTGCATCTCACATCAGACAACTGGGGTCTGACTCCCAACTCCAGCTCCTGATTCCGGCTTCCTGATCATGCAGACCCTGGGAGGCAGTGGTAACAGCTCAAGCATTTGGGTCCCTGACACCTACAAGGGAGATCTGGATTGAGTTCCCGGCTCCTGGCTTCAGCCCCGGGCCAGCCCCAGCTGTTGTCGTCATTTGGAGAATGAATAACAGGATAGGAGTGCTCTCTTTCTCTCTAGTAAATAAAAATGTAAAAAAATCTCAATCATAAAACCCTTACAACCCAGAGCCCCCACTATATCTCTGGGTTCTTCTCTTAGAACATCAAGTCTGGTGCCAGGGCTATGGCACAATGGGTAAAGCTGCCTCCTGCAGTGCCAGCATCCCATATGGGCACCAGTTAGAGTCCCAGCTGCTCCACTTCCGATCCAGCTCTCTGCTGTGGCCTGGGAAAACAGTGGAAGATGGCTCAAGTCCTTGGGTCCCTGCATCCACGTGGGAGACCCAGAAGAAGCTTCTGGCTCCTGGCTTTGAATCAGCTCAGCTCCAGCCATTGCTGAGTGAACCAGTGGATGGAAGATTTCTGCCCCCCACACCCTCTCTTTCTGCCTCTGCTTCTTTATAACTCTGCCTTTCAAATAAATAAATAAATCTTTAAAAAAAAAAAAAAAACACCAAGTTGAACTTTGGCACTGCACCACTGTCTTACTGTGATGAAACCTTAGCCTATCGCAGGGTCTGGGAAACACTAGACACACAAAGTGCAAAGGGAGCCCCTCCATCTCAGACTGTTATGACTGTAGATGGAGTGTCAGTAGCAGGCTGGGTGCAGACGAGGCCAAGTTAATGGTGAACACATGGCCCTGTGAGCTTCCTGCAGAAACACGTGCACAATGGGGAACAGATCTTCTGACTGTCCAAGAAACTCCAGAAATCCAGACTTTATGTGAAACTTCCTAAATTCAATGTTGGCAGTTCATAAAGTACTCTTTTAAAGCTCCTAAGAGGGGCCGACACTGTGGTGCAGATTAATCCTCCACCTGCAGTGCTGGCATCCCACATGGGCACTGATTCTAGTCCCGGTTGCTCCTCTTCTGATCCAGCTCTCTGTTATGGTCTGGGAAAGCAGTAGAAAACGGCCCAAGTGCTTGGGCCCCTGCACCCATGTGGGAGACACGGAAAAAGCTTCTGGTTGGGACCGGCACTGTGGCGTAGCGGGTAAAGCGCCGGTTCAAGTCCCGGCTGCTCCACTTCCAGTCCAGCTCTCTGCTGTGGCCTGGGAAAACAGAAGAAGATGGCCCAAACCCTTGGGCCCGTGTACCCACATGGGAGACATGGAAGAAGCTCCTGGCTCCTGGCTTCAGATCAGCACAGCTCTGGCCATTGCGGCCAATTGCGGAGTGAATCAGTGGATGGAAGACCTCTCTCTCTGCGCCTCTGCCTCTCCTTCTCTGTGTAACATGTAACTCTGACTTTCAAATAAATACACAAATCTAAAAAAAAAAAAAAAAAAAAAAAAAAGGTGCTCCTGGCTTCGGCTCGGCTCGGCTCAGCTCAGCTCAAGTTGCTGCAGCCATTTGGAAAGTGAAACAGCAAATGGAAGACCTTTCTGTCTCTCCCTCTCACTGTCTGTAACTCTACATTTCAAATAAATAAACAAAAATCTAAAGCTCCAAAGAGTAAACCAAACAGGTGTGATGGGCTGGTTGCCAGCTGTTGGACATTCTGATACGCTCTGTAAATACAGGTTCTCCCCACCGCACCAACAGCCTCCAGAGCCAGACTCACTCTCCCTGTTTTCCAAATGGGGTGAAACACTTGCTCAGGGTCACCCAGTTGGCAGGGCACATGGCCTCAGCATCCTGTTGCTTGCTTTCATTTGGCAAAAGCTAGTTGGAGAGACTGCAGGAAATTATCTCCAGAGACACAGACACTGCGTCAGTGGCGCGCTGTCCAGACCACGTGTTGTCATGAGATGGGCCACTGGGGCGTCTCCTGCCCCACACCGCTCATTTCCCTGCAGGTTGAGCCCACTCACCAGATGCTCTCCCACCCTGACAGAGCATGTGTGAGGGCTGAGATAGTACCCCTGCTTGTCTGTGCGCCCCACATCTGTTCTCCTACTTTATGCGAAGCTCCAACGCAACAGAGACGATTTATGACTGCACATCCCCAGAGCTAGCAAGATGCCTGGCCCAAAGAGAGGACTTATAAACACTTGCTGAACAAATCAAGAAAGGATAGGCCAGATGGCAGCCAGAAAAAGACCCTATTCAACGCAGCTGGGCTAACATTCCCATCAGTAAGGATGCAAAGTTTCCGGGAACCTTTTCAAAGGCCTGGTGAGACCACTGGACACTAGAAAACTCAGGACAGAGGATTCTTATAATGTCGTCCATGCAGTACCAGTCTTTCACCTCTAGGATGACATCCCACTCACTCATCCAGGTGTGCAACAGAGGCTCCTGTCCCAGGGTGAGCCTGGCCCTTAAATCTGCGTGGTAGCCGGCGCCGCGGCTCAATAGGCTAATCCTCCACCTAGCGGAGCCGGCACACCGGGTTCTAGTCCCGGTCAGGGCGCCGGATTCTGTCCCGGTTGCCCCTCTTCCAGGCCAGCTCTCTGCTGTGGCCCGGGAGTGCAGTGGAGGATGGCCCAAGTGCTTGGGCCCTGCACCCACCCCATGGGAGACCAGGAGAAGCACCTGGCTCCTGCCTTCTGATCAGCGCGGTGCGCCGGCCGCAGCGCGCCAGCCATGGCGGCCATTGGAGGGTGAACCAAGGGCAAAAGGAAGACCTTTCTCTCTGTCTCTCTCTCTCACTATCCACTCTGCCTGTCAAAAAAAAAAAAAAAAAAAAATCTGCGTGGTGTCTACCAGAGCCCCCAGCTGCAGAGACAGACTCCGTAGGAAACGCCCCGTACACAGCACTCTGTGTTCATCTCGGACAAGGAGGCCAAGCCCACACAGCAGCCAATCCGATCCCAGGCAAACTGCCTGCTTCACGGTGCTTGGAGAGGGTGAGATGGTTACAAAAGGGGGCCAGGCACTGGGGCTTCCTTGGCTGGATGTATGATAGAGGCACAGGTACAGAGGCAAGAACACAGAGCACACTGAGGGAAAAGTGCATGGAGCAACACCGAGCTGGCGTGGAGCTCAGGACAGATGAGCCAGAGGACAGGAGGGATGGCAGTAAAGACAGAGAGGACACGCTGGGGAGCCCAGGGAGCGGTCACAATGCTTGCCTTCCACCAGGTGCTTGCCTTCAGTAGGGCACAAAGCATAACCACGCTCCTGCAGACCACACACGTGCTCCATAGCTCACTGATAACTTAAAACTAGAGATTTTGTGTAAAATGCAGATTTGGAAACGTGAGAAAACCTGACAATACTACATGCACATTCCTGCAGAACAGCCGCTGATAACCAAGGAGGCCTGTGCTCTCCAACTGCCCAGTCCCCTCCACGCCCTACTGTCTCACAGGAGGCCTCCAGCATCGCCGGACAACCTCTGAAGACATCGTGTCTTAGACACTGTGTCTCACTGTGTCTCACTGAGTAACACAACGCAACGCTCAATGATACATGATCAATCAAACCCCCTCTTAACAGCTGACCCCAGGTTTTCCAGTTGTGCATTTCAAGACCTCGATTAGGCTCCTTCTATCCCAGACCAGCTCAAGCCTCACCGTCACTGTGGAAGCAGAATGTTGGCTTCTGATTTCAGAGAAACACACAGATTAACAAAACCAGCGGTGGCTTCTTATCACGACTAATGACTTACAGAGCTTCTCTGAACATCCTGCTCAGCCTTTGCGTACATCTCAGACAGATCACCGTTCAGAATGACTTCAGCTAAGGAGTTCACCAGCGGTGCGTGATGTATAATTAGGAAGACCTGGTGAGAAAGAAGAAACGGGATTTGCCTTAATGTGTACAGTCTTCCACCCTTCCTTCCTGGAGCCCAGAAGCCCTGTGTGAAGCGGCAATGCAAAGCCGGGCCACGTTCAGGAGGATCAGTTCTACTCCGCTGAAGTTGGCTTCTCCTTCAGACCCTTGGCTGGTGGCTCTTCCTCGGAAGGAAGTGGATTAATGCAAGACTGTCCCTCATGACTGGGGGAAGCCAGATCTGGCAGAAGCAGAACGATGTGGGAAAGGAACAGCCAAGCCAGCACACTCCTTCCTTTCCATGGGCATTTTAGCGTCAAATTCAATTATGCTAAGACCAGAAGGCACCATCCCGATCCGTACTTATATGGGAAATGGGGAGTTCTGTTCCAATCAAGGACCTGGCAGAGGAAAGCCTGCGTGGAGATTCTGTTGCTAGAATGAGCTCTGACCCTGAGGTAGATTTAGCTCTGGGACTCCATGCCAGCGGTGGTAGGTGTGGAAACAGAGGGGAAGAAAAGCCACCAGGCCAAAGGCAGATCCAGTTATACCAAGACGCAAAGATCAGAGGCTCTGGGCTGGGACGGCCCTGCCACCCCACCCTGTTGCCCAGTGTTCCTAGGGGCAGCTTCAGGAGCCAGAGTATTCAAACCGTCTGGCAAAGCTGCTCTGGCCACATCTGCCCTCCTGTTTTAGATATAAAGGCAACACAGCCTGTGGGTTTCATCATTTGCATATAGATAGGCAGTGTGCGTGTTTGTATTTGCTTATTTATACATGTACAGAACAGGGTTTCTCAATGTTGGCTCTACTGACATTTTGGGCTCTAATCCTGCGGCATGGGGCTGCCCCAGCACAGAGAAGCATCTAGCAGCATCCCTGGCCTCTACCCACTAAATGCCAGCAGCACCCTGTCCCTCAGCCACGACAGCTGAAAACTGCCAGACACTGCCAGATGTCCACCTCCGCTGACAGCCCTGGGCAGAGAACTCTCAGAAGGACACTGGAAACCCTGGCATTGTAGTTGTCTCTGGGGCTAGAAATCAGAAGCCAGGACTTGAAAATGAAGGAAAACTTGGTTTTCACCTGGTTGAACTTTGCAACCTTAAAAACTTTTTTTTATTAAAAAATATATTGTTGGGGCCGGCACTGTGGCCTAGTGGGTAAAGCCGCCACCTGCAGTGCTGGCATCCCATATGGGCGCTGGTTCAAGTCCCGGCTGCTCCACTTCCAATCCAGCTCTCTGCTATGGCCTGGGAAAGCAGTAGAAGATGGCCCAAGCCCGTGGGCCTGTGTACCCACGTGGGAGACCAGAAAGAAGCTCCTGGCTCCTGGGTTCACATCGGCACAGCTCCAGCCATTGTGGACAATTGGAGAGTGAACCAGCGGATGGAAGACCCTCTCTCTCTCTCTCTCTCTGCCTCCCCTTCTGACTTTCAAGTAAATAAATAAATCATATATATGTGTGTGTGTGTGTGTGTGTGTGTGTGTGTGTGTGTGTATATATATATATATATATGGAAAAATCAAACAAAAACCAGTAAAGAAGAAAGGCAGAAATTCACACGAGCCGCCCTCAGGGCATGACTTGAGTGCCTGGGGATGGAGGAGGGTGGGCGACTTTTCCTTACGGTATGTTTCTACTGCTTGAACAGTGGCACACTATTATTCAAGTAAATAGTTAAACTCAAATTACATAAAAAAGAACAGCCAAACGTGGCACCTATCTAACCAAAAAAAGCACATCTGTTTTAAAAAACAAACAGGGAACCCTTTGCTGTCACCCAGGCTCTAATAAGCTACCCCAGGTCTGGGGCTGTGACACACACTCCAGCACTGGATGATGAATGTTTTTCCCTTTATCATAGCCAAATTACTGCCATCAGACTACAAAACCAAACCCAATCACCGAGTGCATTCCTTCTACAAATGTCTGTCATGTACCTTGTATGAATGGGACCTTACCTGATCACTTATTCATTCCGTTATTCAATCCACTGACATTCTCTGCGCACTACTAGGGCCCCTGGACAAAGCCCGGTGATTCCTGCCCGAGGATGCACCTTGTGCTCCTTTTCCTGGCTATGACCGGGGGGTGGGGGGGTGGGGGGGGGGACCACGGCAGGTGCACGGCAGCGCACAGGGTGCAAGTGGAGACCTGGGCTGGGCTGCCAGCAGCAGGCTCAGGCAGATAGCATCGCCTGCCACACTAAATTAATGTCACCAGTGTGAATTTTCCTGGTTTTGTAGCTGTGCCTGAAAAATAATTTGTAAGGATGCACTGATTTATAGGGCAGTAGGGGATTTAAGGACTCAAGAATTATCCCTGGCTCTGGGTTCTCACACATGTAAGCCACATTATAATTAAGCTACATGACAATGCAAGGGAGAGAGGGCTGTTTTATCTTTAAAAAGGATCTATTACTCAATTTTGAGGAACACTGAATTACAGACCAGGTTTTTCGCCAGATATTGAAACAAGTAATTAGGTGCCTGGCAACTGGTCCTTCACTAAGGAAACAAGAGAAAGACGGCTCTCAGCAAGAAGATGCCACCCCTCTCCACTCACGTCCCAGCCACGTTCCCTGGAGAAGACCCTGCCGGAGCGCGGCTCGGGCAGCTACAGAGGCCCGAGGTGCCTTCCATGGCACTCCTGAGGCTGAGCAACTAGCCTCAGTCCTGCCAGCCTCCCAGAATCCACAGCAGGAGATGCCTACAGATTTGTAACGAGGCGGCAGAAAAAGTCACCAGGAGAGGCTGAGGTTTATACTAAGCTCCACGGCACAGAGGGGCATTGAGAGAGCCGGCACCATGCAGAGCTCTGGGCAAACAGAGCCCTGGGACTCCAGGATGTGAGCAGTGGTCAGCCCACGTCCTGATCCCCATCAGCCTGCCCGCTGCAGTGTGTGGTTCAGGCAAAGGGGGAGACAGCTTCACCCCCGGCTCATGACGGCAGGATATCAGCTAGAGGAGTCTCTCATCGAAGAAAACACATACCGGGGCCACTGCAGAAGGGGGCACAGAGCTGTGACCAAACATCTGACTACGTGCCAGTCTAATGAGATGGCCTGCGAGTCGGCGCTGCTTGTAATAAAAATATTTGTAAAGTTATGTAACTGAGTCACCATGGAGTTTTTCCCTTCTTGTAAATATTACATAATTACAAGAAGGAAACACACTTGTTTAAGGAGGGGAGACAGACAAATTGGCTCAAGACACAAATCTGGGAGCTGAGGCTGCTATAACATCCCTTTCAGACAATAATCTGGGAACCAGAACCACAACAAAATCTTCGACAGCCTCGCAACAGGAAGTTTGCTAAACCAAGGCTGCTGTGTGGATGTTCACGGTGGGTCCTATGGCTTGGGGGCCCATTTCAAAACCTTGTGAGTAAGAGCCAGGCAGCCTACAGATCCAGGCTGTCAGAAGGCTCCCTCGTTGTGTTGGAAATCTTGGGTCTCGCGGTAAAAATCAAATACACAACGCAAAGTTTAATTTCTTTTCCACTTCTCTCTACATTTCCCTCCCCTGCTGTGAAGAGGATACCTACGCAGTGTCTGGCACGCAGAACGCCCCTTACTCACTTTGAGATGGGGACCCTGTGAGAGAAGACGGGCAATGTGACACGAGGGCTTTCTGGAGCAGCGGCTCCACGGGACCCAGGCCAGGGTCAACATACCTGCGACAGGAGATAGAGAGACACGGGCAGGCTGATCTTCGGCCGCTCTCCTCCCTGGGAAGGTCGGGGGGAAGAAAAGGGGGAGTCCAGGTCACAAAAGCAAGCCACACGGAATGATGACACCAGAGTAGTCTGAACAAAAGACACCCTGTGCCCTGGCGTTGTCCACGACACTAGGGCTGCCCTGGTGCTGGTCACAAACCCACTGGGCAGACACGCGCAGCCCAGCTCCACGCCACACGGCTTGCAGGGCCGCTGCCTTCCTGCCTGAGCACTTGCGACACTACCCGTGGGTTAGAAGCCTACCCAGCAGAACGCGCTCCCTGAGTTGCCCCAGCCGCGGGAAGGCGGGCCCAGGTGGCCCACTCTTGGGAAGGCAATCTGCAAACGCCAGGGACGGGCTGGCTGTGCACTCTGGGCTCAGAAAAGCCCTCATCACTCCGAGCTCCAAGACGCCTCACCTCACATGAACCCTGTGAAGGAGGGGCCTTCAGGCCCTCACCTGCCGCTGAAGAGACGGGCTCAGGGCGGGTGATGACTCATCCAAGGTCACAGAGTTAGGAAAGGCAAGAGGCAGACTTTGAATCCAGGTCTGAAACCTCCAATTCCCAGGCGTGGCCTCTGCCACCAGAGCTGTCCCTGGCAGGTCTAACTGCAACTGTGATCACTCTGCATTTATTGATTTGTGGCAAGCGTGCCCACACTTCATTCCCAAAGGAAGATGATACCCCCTCGGGACTCAGGAGCCGCAGCTCCTGCGCGGTGACCAGGTGGCTGCTCCCACTTCCTGCTGCAGCCTCTGAACTCTGCAGGGACTGGACAGAGACACACACACCCCACCTCGGCTCCCTAAAGCAGTGAGTCTCATGGGAGCATCCTGGGATCAGCAGCACAGCATCTCCAGGGAGCAGTTGATGTGCAGGTTCCTGGCCCCACCCTGACCTGCTGAACCAGAATCCCTGGGACAGGGAGGGAGTACCTGCAGGCCTGCACCCACCCTCCCCCAGGGCCTCTCAAGTCGCTCCCTGGGCAGTCACCACCCTGGGAACTCGTCCCGAGTGCGTGCTGTCCCTGCCCGTTCATTCCGTGCCAGTTTGGTTGCTGTGGGGATCGTCTGCAAGTCAGTCAGCTCTGGCAACTACCTGAAAAATCACGGGCGGGAGGAGGCCTCTGGGAAGGATGGGCGGAAACCGAAATCCTAAACCCATCAGCTCGCCTGTGTTTCTGATGCCTTTTCCTCTTCCCCTTTACAATTCCCACCCCACCCGTCTCTCAGAAAGGGGAGGAAAGGAAAGGAAAATCAGGAAGCTTCGGAGGGACCCCCTGCGGCCCGCGGCCCTTTGCAAGGCGACCACCTGGCAGGGCGACGCTGCAGACCCACCTTGCCGTGGTTCTCCAGGGAGTACACGTAGAGGGGCAGGAAGAGCCTGTTGAGCAGGTGGTCGGTGAGCACGTCATTGAGGAACTCGCAGTTGATGATGAGGATGTCGTTGAGATAGTGCAGGTGGTCCAGGTGCTCGGCCACCAGGTCACTCAGCTTCCCCCGGTTCCTGTGCCTGCACGGAGAAAGGACCGCCTCAGCCTCAAGGCCAAAGAGCAGAGCCTTTGGGTCCAGAATCACCAGCCTGGGACCTCGGTCAAGGGTGCATGTGCGCTCATACTACCAATACGTGAGCAAGTATCAGGAGACACTGGCTCCAGCCCCTACCCAGAGACACTCAAAGGGACCATGAACAGGGACTCCTGGGGTCCCCTGTTGTGTGGGGGCCTTAGGACCACCCTCCTCACCACAGCCCAGAAAAATGGGGTGAACAAAGCAAAACCAGCCCAGCGCTTAGAGCTATCCATAGCACAAGGGGAGGCAACTAGCCACGTGCCAAGACCTCATCTACTTGGACAAGCACCACTCTTGCAGCAACAAGTCCTGGTGATCCAAAGCTCCCAAGGAACACAAAGGTGGAGTTGTGCTCAGCAGCTGCGTCTGCAGCACCGGCCCCAGACGCACGTGGCACATGGGGCGAGGAGGTGACGTCCCTGCCCGCAGGCCTCTGCCCCGCGGCAGTCCCTCCAACACCAGTGGCAGGCACACAGGGCTCCTGGAGCCAGCCTCACACTTAGGAACAGGGGGTCCCTTCACCACCGAAAGCACCATCTAGCTAGGGTCAGACACTGTGCTTCTATTAGCTTCTGAGTGACAGTCACTTTACAAAAGGCACCATTAAAAAGAAAATAAAAGTCAAAAGAAATCAAAGGCTCCTATAATGCCACCACTGACAGACGTCTAATATGAACACTTTGACTGCTGGTAGCCTCCAGTCTGCTTTTCCACATTCTCCTCTCTACTGACAGCCAGTGTAAAGTGCAAGTGTTAGACTGGATCTAGCTGTAAAACGGCATCAACTCCACGTCTTTGACTTTATTTTAGGTAATATTTTAGGTAATATCCCTTATATTTTAATAAGATACTTAATAAATATTTAATAGATATTTAATAAATTGCATAGTAAATCCATGTTGGAAAGTCTAACAGGAACCCACAGTGTACCCGAGATAATGACCATTCGTACACAAGGCTTCACGTTTGCCCTGCTCCATAAAATACGTGGGAGATATTTTTTATTAGGATATGTAATGCACTTCACTTTTTGATACTTTAATTAAAAACATTTTACCAAAGTAGGGTATGCAAATGGGTTCAGACTCAAGTAGCATTGAAAAGTTGCTGACACCGAACAGCAGCTGCTGGCCCAGCCTCCACCACCCTCCCTCCTCCAGCCAAGACAGTTTCTAACACTCTGAGCTCTGTCTGCAGGTAGCTCCCCCATGTCCTACAGAATCTGCGTGGCCCTCCGTTTCATGACTGCACCATGCTGACACCATCTGTGGGCCTCCCGTGAGACAGAGCTGTGTTCCTGCCACCTCTGCCCCAGTAGTCGCTGTGGGTAACTGGCGTGGGACTCCTGACTGCTCCCTACAGAGCCGAGAGAAGACCGCACGTTACATCTTGCACCCACGGCTGTTGGTGTCCACGTGGGCTCCTCTTCCCCTACATGCCAGGGAGCAGCCATCGAGCTGGCCTTGCTCCCTGCCCAGCACCGCTAACACCGTTGCTGTCTTGCTCTTCTCCCTCTGAGCTCCCTCCTGGGTCCCTCCAGCATCCTGGCCTCCATCTCGCAGCACCGACCACCAGGCCTGGGCACAGCTGTCACTCTGGGGCAGTGGTTCCCAACTGAGCGGGACTTTTGCCTTAAAGAGGGCCTTTGGCAATGTCCAGAGACATCTGTGGTTCTCACACTAGGGAAGGAGTGTTTCTGGTGTCTCGCAGGCAGAGGCCAGAGAAGCTGTGTTCCCTCCCAAATACCCCCTCACAAAGCACTTAGTGCCAAGGCAGAGGAGGACAAAATCACCACCTTCGAGTGTTTTTTTAAACAGATGTAATTCACACACCATAAATCTGCCCGTTTACAGTACACACACAATAACTTACTCAGTTGTCCAACTGTCCTCACAATCACCTTGAGCACAGTCTCATCTCTCTGCAGGAAGTCCTCCGCTCACTGGCACGGCTCCCCACAGCCCCCGGGCCGCCTCTCTGCCCGACCCCACGCCCCAGGACCTGCTCATCTAGACCCTGAGGATCAGCCTTTCTGAGCATTTTATACCAACGAACCGGCAACGGGTGGCCCTGTGTGTCTGTTCCTTAGCACGAGGCTGGCAGGCTCACCCGTGTCTGGGCACGAGCCGGGACTCTGCTCCTGCCTACTGCCTAATGTCACTCTACTGGACCAGAGTCTGATTACCTGTGCGCCAGCTGATGGATCACCTGACCCCCTGCCCGAGAGCCTGCATGTACCTCCCTTGCTCTCTCCAGGAGGCCTCTAAGTCCTCGTTAGCTTCCCGCTGAGCGAGCAGGCGAGCGGGACCTTCTGCAGAAGTCTCTGCTCTGCCTGCACACAGGGGAGCACGGCTCCTCCCCGCCGGCCGCCCGGCTACCTGCTCAGCATGCCGGGAACGCCACTTACTCCTCGTCAGTCTGCACACAGTTATCAAGCTCGATCACGTGGCTCCCGATGAACCAGACCAGGTTGGAGAAGTACGGGACAGCAGTTTTATCTCTGATATAGTGCAGCATGGCCTGGTTATCCACTGAGAAAATTCACAAAAGAAAAGGAAAAAAAGTCAAGCTACCAAAAATAACTTGGCAGAGATTAAAAAAAAAAAACCAACAAACCAAAAAAAACCACACTGAAAAAGCCCTCTGCTATAATCTGAAATTGTCTTCCCTAGAAATACTTGAAAATGTTTATCTTATTCATAAAATTATCAAGGCAGTGCTTATGCTATTTTTATAATTATTAAAATAAATCAGTTGGGCTAAACATTTGTCGTGCCTTGTTCAGGCTGCATATCAGCAGTGGATTTAACTAGGACTGCAACGAGAATGCCCACATTCTCAAGCCAGCTGCCTGATTTACATGTAAGGATAAGTCAAGAAAGCAGAAAACCAGAAGTTAAAAACTTACATGACACTGGAATAAGGAACACGGGAATCGTCATTGAAGGAAAGGCAAAAAACAGACAACAATTAACAGGGTTAGGAACCGGGAAGGGAGACAGCGCGCAGAGGAAGAGCAAGCTGGGGCGGCAGGCGCCTAACCCGAGATCCACAGGTTAGAGGAGAACACGAGGAAACAGAGCAGGCCAGCGGGACTGGCCCCCGCCCGGGCCGGGCTCGCAGCTCGGAAGCCTGCCAGGTGGCCCCGGGAGGGAAGCCCCCAGCCCGCTGTGTGCGCCAGGGAGTCCAGGCCTCAGTTTCTAAAGGAGTGGCTATTTTTTGGCTCCAGCTGACTCCTGCCTGGCAGGACCGAGGTCCAGGAAGAGCCAGATCTCCATCCTCAAGTCAGAAACCCAGACTGTCGTGCAAGATCTTCCAAGCTCTAAAGACAGGCAACTATGTACTCTTCCAAAAGCCCTCTAAGCCCATGGAGACGTGCCTGAGGGCTGGGCTTGCCTTCAAGCCCTCAGTTTGCAACTCTGGATGGAGAGGCTCTTAACTGAATATCCTCGCAGAACGAGGCTGGACTGAGTCCCTGGGGAGCACCCCACCCCACTCAGGGTCATCTCAAGTAATAAGATCATGACTCAAGAAGACCAAAGCCAGGCAGTGACCTGGCACCAGGCACAACTTCCAGGGCATGGCCTTTGAAAGGCAATTCCAGTTGAGGACACTGTGGCCGGCCAGCCTTCGTGCCAGCGCAGAGGAGCTGGGCGAAGCCTTCTTCTGCACGCACTGTTTTGCGCAGGAAGTAAATCGTAAAATAAATAAATAAATACCCAGGAATTTGGAAGTGCTGGGCTTTACAGCCAGTTAGGAATACAACACTGCCCCCTGTTGTTTGTGAGGTGAAATGTCTAAAGATAAAATACCCCCTCCCTAACATTAAAGATACAGTATTTAGATAAAACACCCCCTAACTGTACTGAAGTATACATATAATTTACAAGCCAAAACATAAAAATGCAACTCTCCGTTTAAAAGGCAACTTTGCTTGTCCAGTCCGAATCCCACTTGCCTCACGGGACACCTGCTTTCAGTGCTGGAGTTTGAACATGCGCAAAGGGCAGCGGCAGAGTGACACGAGGGGCCGGCCTTCCGTGAGCCATGCAGCCCGGGGCTACCAGAGATGAGCACCCGCCCCCCCCCCCCCGTGCCTTTGGGCGAAGTGTGTGCAGACACACGGGAGTGAGCCCTTGTAGTCACATCACAAGTCAGCCCAGGCCCGAGCCGCCAGGAAACTTACCTTTGTAGACATTCAAAGTTATGGTTCTTACAGCAATTCTAACCATGCTTTCAGGGTGGTTGAAAAACTTGATGGCTTCCGTGTACAGGGCAAAGTCATTGGTGTGCTAAAACAAAGACGGACCACAGATGAGGTACGGCCCCACGAGGCAGGCCCCACCCTGGCGCTGGGAGCCATCAGAGACCTCCAAGTGAGACAGTGTTGCCGCCATGAACCTCAAGTCAGTGGTTCATTCTGGACAAGGCGTGTGAGAAGGGAGGCGAGGCCACGGGAGAACAGAGCAGGGTCCAGATAACAACCAGGTCTGGGTCCACACCCGCCCGGCACGCGGCTGTGAGGCGATCCTTTCTCGTCCATAGAACGGGGGTGGTAATAGCCCCTTCACTGCTGTTGGGATGAAACGCGATCACGTCCAGTGCAGCGCTTACCCCTGCACCCGACACCTAGCGTGCGCCTGGTAGCAGCCTGGTCACTTTCCGCTGCTGCTGCAGCTCCGCAGGATTAAAGGCACAGCCTCTGGTGAAGCACAAAGGTATAAACTGTGCCCTGGAGGGGGAGGCCCGAGGAGCCTGCTGCTGTTAGAAGGGATAAGGAGCCACAGAAAACCCCGTGCACCGGGAGCTGGCGCTGGCGTCCCCAGGGACAGGCTCTGCTGCCCTCCTGTGGCCAAGCTTCCCAGGAGGCTCCGGGATCCACTCTGAGGACACCCAGAGCAGCGCAGGACAGTGAGGGGAGGGCAGGAAGCCACTGCTCAACCTCCAGACCAGTCTTCGCAGGCTGGCCGTGGGTGAGAGTGCGAGACAGCACTGACAAAGACCACGCTGCTCCAAGGAGGTATCAAGCCAGCCCCCAGCAAGTGGCAACCTTTACACGGGTCCCCATGGAAGGGAAGACCAGGCCCACCCCACGAAACAAGGCCCTGAGTCTCCTCTGACGGCCAGGAGGCCGCTCCTGCAAGGCGTCCCTCTCAGCCCACAGCCCAGCTTCGCTCCCCCAGCCTGGGGCACAGAGCCCAGCGGCACCAAGTGCAGCGGAATTCAGGCCTCTCTGGCTTGAGCTTTCACGGCACCTTCGGGAGAACGCCGACACGCTCCATCTGATCTTGGGTGTTTACTGAGCACCTACGATGTGCTGGGCGCCGGTCCACACAAGAATTCTCCAAACCGCCAACACTTCAGGGCTGTGAGTTAGTGTTTCTTCCCTCAGAAGGCAGCTCTTCTCCTCCGAGGGGAAACAGTGGCAGTGAGCACTCCGGAGTGCTCCACAGCGTCCACTCTACAGTGAAAGTCAACGCTCAGGCTGCTGTCGCCACATTAGAAGGAATTCGGACAATGCGTCTGCGACTGTGGTCTTAGGCTGTGCAGGGTGTGTGACTGGCAATCCGAGGGCAGCTGGGACTGCCCCACACCATGTCCACAGCCTCTGTCAGCCCCTCCCACTGACTCAGGGCTGTGCTGTGGGACCTGAAGAATACGGTGGAAGCGACCCTGTGTGACTTCTGCGGCCTGGGCCATACGAGGCATTCCATTTTCTCTAGTCCCTCAGGTCACTTCTCTAGGGGAAGCCACTTGCTAAACCACGAGCACACTCGAGCAGTCCTGTGAAGATGTGGACATAAAGGGAACCAAGGCCTCCCACCCACAGCCAGCATCAGCTGGCCACTCGTGGGACTGGGCTGCCTGGAAGGCCATCCTCCAAGCCCGGATGACAGCCTCCTGAGACACCTGGCCCAAGCTGCCCTGCCAGGCCGATCCCAAATCCCAGATGTGCTGGAGAAAAACTGGATGGGATTCTGACCAGTGGGGCTGGGGCCTGAGGGGAAGTCTGGTGGCAGGCTTCTGAGAGGTCAAAGTGGATACAAGAAGGGAAGTGATATTTGGAGCTGCTGCAGCCATCTTGTGCCCATGAGGGGCTGACTCAGAGCAGATAGCAACAGTTTGGCAAGCAGAGCAAGAAGACAGAAAAGCCTGGGTCTGTGATGCTGTGAGTGAGCCGCAGGATGAAGCAGCCTCAGGACAGCGGCGTACGTTCTCTGTGAGATAACCTGATCACACTGTTCAAGTTCCTTTTAATTGTGCGAGCAGAGGGTACTGATTCAGGTTGTTATTAACTCTCCTATGGAATATGGGACATCCTCCTGTAGGCAGCAGCAAGGTCTGTATGTTAGGGAGTCAGGTGCGTACTGGGTGCTCTGAAAACATCACCTCATTTAATCCGTTCCCTCAACACCCTGCATGAGGCACGTGTGTGAAAAAGCGTACGGAAAAAGTGGTTTCTTGGGGCACAAGCTTTGAAATCGATGCACAGCCTTTTCAGAGTGCAGTTTCCACGGACTGTGTGAAGCCACACCCCCCAGACACGCTATCTGCATTTCTCGAATGAGGAAACAGGCTCAGACAGAGACCAGGACTCCCCTGGGTCACACGGCAGGGAAGTGGCAAAGCCGGGCCTCATGGGAGTTCCTATTTTCCCACAGGGCAACATTACCCCCAAGACACGTCTAGACACTTCTGTCAAGGATAATGCTCAGTACAAACTGAATTTCACACCCAAAGGTAGTTTGCTGCATTAAAATAAAAAACTTTTTTTAAAGTATGCCAAAGTCAAATAGTGCTGTCATGCAAATCAGACGCACGGCACACACACATGGCACACTCACACGGTGCACGGCACATGGTGCACGCATGAGCAGCACACACGGCACACACATGAGCAGCACACCCACGGCACACTCACATGGTGCATGGCACATGGTGCACGCATGAGCAGCACACACACGGCACATGGTACACGCATGAGCACACACGGCACACACATGAGCAGCACACACACGGCACATGGTACACGCATGAGCAGCACACACGGCACACACATGAGCAGCACACCCACGGCACATGGTGCACGCATGAGCAGCACACGCACATGGCCCGCACACGCACGAGCGGCTCCCTGGCCATCACTCACCTCATTGTAGAAGAAATGGACGGTGTGGTTGTTGAGCTTCAAGGAGAGTGTTTTCAGGAACGATATGTAATACGCCATAATCTCCTCGTCAGAAAAGTCAAACTTATGGACGATGATAGAATTCACGTAGTTATTCGAGAGCAAATAATCTAGAGGAGAAAAAGCAAAGCAAAACAAACTAGATAACCGGTGCTGCAGGAAGGACTAGCAGAGATGCTGGGCGACCAGCAGGTGGGCGACAAGCAGATGGGCGACACTGACCGACAACGCACTGAATCCGTTATGCTCTGTGTGGTCAGGATTAAACCAACAGGGAGCAGCTGAACCTTTAACCCGCAAACAAATCATCTACGAGCTCAGAGGCAAGGCCATCCCAAGGAGAGAAACCAGGCAGTCTCTTCACCTCGCTGGCAAAGTCCAATGGGGACAGGGGGCGGGGAAGACACGAGGTGTAGGTATCTTCAGGACCACCACAGAGGACAGTGAAGGGACTGTGTTTCATAAATAGCTACCCCATTTGACATCAAAAATCACATCATCAGGGCCAGCGCTGTGGCACAGTGGGTTAATGCTGGCATCCCATATGGGCACCGGTTCATGTCCTGGCTGCTCCACCTCCGATCCATTTCCCTATTGCTGGCCTAAGAAGGCAGCAGAAGTTTGCCCAAGTGCTTGGGCCCCTGTACCCACGTGGGAGACCCGGACGAAGCGCCTGACTCCTGGCTTCAGCTGGGCTTGGCCCTGGCTGCTACAACCATTAGGGGAGTGAACCAGGGATAAAAGATACTCTCTTTCTCTCTGTGTGTCTCCTTTCTCTTTAACTCTCGTTTCAATTTAATCAATTAATTACACACACACACACACACACACACACAAGCACCATCGTGCCCCAATGCCACCAAGGGCTCCACATGGCTTTTCCTGCATACATGGCTACTGGGTTTCACAGAGGTCCCCATGCATGCAGCACCTGGCCTGGGTGCATCCTATCAGAACCAGGCAGTGTGTCCTGCAGGGCCACGCTCACTCCTCCCCCTGTGCAGGTGAGTGCAGAGAGCTCGGAAGGCCTTACTACCTGGCCGGCGGACACAACAGACAGTCCAGAGGAGAGGAACCCAGGTCTGATGTCGGCGCTTGTTTCTATCAACAAACTAATACGAGCTGACGGTGAAAACCGGGTGCTGGGGCCGGCGAGTGGCACAGCAGGTGAACGCCCTGGCCTGAAGCACTGGCATCCCAAATGGGTGCCAGTTCTAGTCCCAGTTGTTCCACTTCCGATCGAGCTCTCTGCTGTGGCCTGGGAAAGCAGAAGATGGCCCAAGTCCTTGGGCCCCTGCACCCACATGGGAGACCCAGAAGAAGCTCCTGGCTCCGGATCAGCGCAGCTCTGGCCATTGTGGCCAATTAGCAAATGAACCAGTGGATGGAAGACCTCTCTCTCTGTCTCTACCTCTCTCTGTGAAAGAAAGAAAGAAAGGAAGAAAGAAAGAAAGAAAGACAGAAAAAGAGAGAGAGAGAGAGAGAAAGAGAGAGAGAGAGAAAGAAAGAAAGAAAGAAAGAAAGAAAGAGAGAGAGAGAGAGAGAGAGAAAGAAAGAAAGAGAGACAGAGAGAAAGAGAGACAGAAGGCCGGCGCCGCGGCTCACTAGGCTAATCCTCCGCCTTGCGGCACAGGCACACCGGGTTCTAGTCCCAGTCGGGGTGCCGGATTCTGTCCCGGTTGCCCTCTTCCAGGCCAGCTCTCTGCTGTGGCCCGGGAGTGCAGTGGAGGATGGCCCAAGTGCTTGGGCCCTGCACCCCATGGGAAACCAGGATAAGTACCTGGCTCCTGCCATCGGATCAGCATGGTGCACTGGCCGCAGCGCACCAGCCGCGGCAGCCATTGGAGAGTGAACCAACGGCAAAGGAAGACCTTTCTCTCTGTCTCTCTCACTGTCCACTCTGCCTGTCAAAAAAAAAAAAAAAAAAAAAAGACAGAGAGACAGAAAGAGAGAGAAAGAAAGAAAGAGAGAAAGAGAGAGAGAAAGAAAGAGAGAGAGAAAGAGAGAAAGAAAGAGGGAGGGAGGGAGGGAGGGAGGGAGGGAGGAAAGGAGAAAACTGGGTGCTGAGAGTGAGGGCCTGGGAGCCCTGGGGCCAACTGACAGCCCCTGCCCCACCCCTCCAAGCTCCCGGCAGGCCACTGGCTCCCATGGAAATGTGGGCCCAGCGCAGCCAGAGCTTCACACTGGGGAAGGAAAACTGGGACAGAGATTTGAAGGCTGCATCTCTGGGTCTTCAAATGCCTGGTCCTGAACAACACAGCTTCAGAGCTGTGCTCACCAGCAAACAGCTCCATCCACAGCTACAGCCTGGAGCCTGCCATTCAACACCTTGACCTTGGCCCTGGCTCCCCTCTGAGTACTCGAGAAAAACCCTACAGAGAGGTGCTGCTGGCCCAGTCTGGGCTGTCAGCGTGAGCGCTGCACTGGCTCCTGACTCCCCACAAATGACAGTGACCTATGACCTCCGCACCTACAGGTGAGACGGGTGGCAGAGGCGGCAGAGCCTCAGGCCAGCAGCAAAGCCGGGCCCTGAGCTTGTCGGACGTCAAGGCTCGGGCCCTAGCCCTAGTCCCCAGTCCCAGCATCCCGTGGAAGAAAGCTTCAGAGTTTCCCACACACACTCGTGGTTGAGAGCCACGGGAAGAAGCGTGCACGTGAACCACTCTGCCTGGGTCAGCTCCCACCTCTCCACAGCCTTGCTCCGCAACCTAGCGCAAGCTGCTCACCCTCCCCATTCCCAGGCTCCCTGACTGGCAAACAGAACAGCAGCCCCGCCGTCCCAGCGCTGTCGTGAGCAGTAAGAGATCAGGCACAGCCAGCGCCACGGCTCACTAGGCTAATCCTCCACCTTGCAGCGCCAGCACACCGGGTTCTAGTCCCGGTCAGGGCGCCGGATTCTGTCCCGATTGCCCTTCTTCCAGGCCAGCTCTCTGCTGTGGCCCGGGAAGGCAGTGGAGGATGACCCAAGTGCTTGGGCCCTGCACCCCATGGGAGACCAGGAGGAAGCACCTGGCTCCTGGCTTCGGATCGGTAAAGCAGGCCGGCCATAGGGGCCATTTGGGGGGTGAACCAACGGCGGAAGGAAGACCTTTCTCTCTCTCTCTCTCTAACTCTGCCTGTCAAAAAAAAAAAAAAAAAAAGATCAGGCACAAAAGAGTCAAGTCAGAGAGGCTGAGGCTGCACAGCACATTGGACGCACACTGTCCACATGCTCTCCACACACTGGACATGCACTGGACACACACTGTCCACACGCTCTCCACACACTGGACATGCACTGGACACACACTGTCTACACGCTCTCCACACACTGGACATGCAATGGACACACACTGACAAACGCTCTCCACACACTGGACATGCACTGGACACACACTGACAAACGCTCTCCACACACTGGACATGTACTGGACGCACACTGTCCACATGCTCTCTACACACTGGACATGCACTGGACACACACTGGACACACTCTCCCCACACACTGGACATGCACTGGACGCACACTGTCCACATGCTGTCCACACACTGGACATGCACTGGACACACACGGGACGCACACTGTCCACACGCTCTCCACACACTGGATGCACACTGAACACATACTAGACGTACACTGAACACACATTGTCCACACACTGGATGCACACTGGACACACAATGGACACACTGCCCACACTGGATGCACACTGGACACTCACGGAACACACTACCCATACACTGTCCACACACTGGTTGTACGCTGTCCACGCACTGGATGCACACTGTACACTCTGGATGCACACTGTCCACATACTGTCCACATACTGGACATGCACTGGACACACACCGGACACACTGCCCACACACCGGACACACTGCCCACACATCGGACACACTGCCCACAAACTGTCCACGTACTGAACACACACTGAACACACCAGATGCACACTGGACGCACACTGTCCACACACTGGATGCACACTGTCCACACACTGGACATGCACTTGATGCACACTGGACACATTGGACGCACACTGCCCACATACTGTCCATACATTGTCCACACACAGGATATACACTGCACACTGTCCACAAACTGGACACACAATGGACACACACTGTCCACACACTGCCCACACACCAGACGTACACTGCCCACACACTGGACGCACACTGTCCCCACACAGACCACACACCGGATGCACACTGCCCACACAATGAATGCACACTGCCCACACAATGAATGCACACTGTCCACACACCAGATGCACACTGCCCACACACTGTACGCACACTGTCGCCACACGGACCACACACTGGACGCACACTGTCCACACACTGCCCACACACCGGATGCACACGGCCCACACACTGGACGCACACTGTCCCCACACCAGATGCACACTGCCCACACACTGGACACACACTGTCCCCACACGGCCCACACACTGGACGCACACTGTCCCCACACGGACCACACACCGGACGCACACTGCCCACACACTGGACACACACTGTCCACACACCAGATGCACACTGCCCACATACTGGACGTACACTGTCCCCACACGGACCACACACTGGACACACACTGTCCCCACACGGACCACACACTGGACGCACACTGTCCACACACTGCCCACACACCAGATGCACACTGCCCACACACTGGATGCACACTGTCCACACACCAGATGCACACTGCCCACACACTGGACGCACACTGTCCCCACACGGACCACACACCGGACGCACACTGCCCACACACCGAGGCACAAGGCAAGCACTGATTGGTGTTCACTACGTGGTTCGTCCCAGAGCTGCTCTGTAGAGACTGCTCATTTCCACCACCACACCCCAGGGCCGCACACCGTCAGGCTGAAGTCAGAGATGACTGAACACTGTGTTTGGAATCACCAAAAAACCACCATGAGCCAGGCGAGATGAGCTCAGGGCCAGGACGGGGCGGTGCCACGGCCCCTGGCTGGGCCCTCCCTGGAAGCCAGCTCGCTAGGAAAGCCCCTGCAGCCACCAGTCACCGCATCACCCTCTGAGCAGGCCGGGGAGACCAGCCGTGCAGGCCGGGGTCTACGTGCCAAACGGTTCTCAGAGCCTCCTGGTCGCACCCATTCTTAAGGGGGCTCCTGAGGCCTCTCTAAGAGAGCCGCTGGGTCTGGGAGGGGGCTCAAGACCGTTCATGCTTTTCATAGGAGGTCACACATATCACCGATCAAAACACAGCTCGATACATGTGGGAACGGACACATACGACATACGTGTCTGTGGGACTGACCCGCCTATACCTCACGAGGCTCGGGGTCCAGCTTCATCATCTGCTCCCAGGTTCACACGCAGGGCAGGCATCAGACAGCTCCCCCAGCCTCGCCAGGCAGAACCCGGCCCCAAAGGCAGCCTTGTTCTGATCCACCACCACAGACGCACTGTGCCTCTGCCCGAGCTGCCCGTCAGCTGAGCCACACAGCAAGCACCCGTCCGCGCCTGGCCTCTCGCTCGCGGCCACGTCTGAGTTTCCCACGTGGCTGTGTGTGGGGATCCTTCCTCTGTGGGCCTGAACGCCTCTCTCTTGCTGCACAGCAGTCTGGTTTGGAAGCGTCCACAACTGGTCCCTCCACCCGAAGTCCACTCAGGACAGGCGATGCTGAGACCTGGCCTACTTCACTGCTCCGTGTCGTTGTGACCGCACCTGGGGACTGCTGGGAGGGGGAGGGGCCTGACAGGAGCAGCAACTGCGGAGGAGTCTAGCGGGGCCCGCTGGCCTGCCACCAGCTTCCAGAGCACAGATGCTGAGGCCGGCAGCTTCCGCTGGGCAACCTGAGTCTCTGGGCCGCATCCTGCACCTGGGGCAGCCATGAACTCATCCACACCAGGAGGGACTTTTCCTGGGCCCCTGAGAGGCAGCCTGTGGGTGGAGAGGCCTCTGGTGTTCGGCTGGGATTTTTCCACTACGCCCTCACTGTGTGGCTGACTTTCTGTGGGGTCCTCTGAGAATAAACCCGAGAGTCTTGGGTCTCTGTCACTGAGGTCAGCAAACCCTAGGCAGCAGGACCATCTGTGAAGTGGCAGCCCATGGTCACGTGATGCAGGATACAGCACTTAATCCGAACCAGGGAGGCTCGCCAGGAGGGGCGAGGAGATCAGATACACACTGGGAAGGAGGGGAAAAGCTAGGCCAACAGCAACATGGTTTGTGTACACCGACATGTCAGGGAGAGATTCTACAGACACCTGACAGCCTGGATTTCTGCAACGCTTGCTTTTTGGTACCATACGAGGAGGATGCTTCCTATGACTGGAAAGGAAAAACAAAGGCCATCTACCCTCTCACTGCCTGCAAAGCCAGGTTGTGCAGACGGTGCATCTGGTCTTTTCCGCAGCCCAGCTGGGCCGTGAGGCAAGAGGTGCCTGCCTGGACTCCTCACAGCCCCGAGCACTTTCTGCTCTCGGTACAAGAAAAGCCCGGCACACAAACAGCCGTCCAGCCCAGAAGCAGGCAGGGCACAGGTGGCTCCCATGTGGGGGAGAACGGGGCAGGGGACGCTGGGCAAGGATGAGCGCTCCAGTTATGCAAGACAGACAAATTCTGGGGATCTGACGCACAGCACAGCAACCCCAGGGACAGCACCCAACTGTCTACGTGCTGTACGCACCTCTGAGAGCTGATCCAAAGCGTTCTCAGCACACACCAGACAACCACGTCAGGCACCGGCCACACTGATTACCTGACTGTGGTGATTATTTCACAGAATACGCATACCGAACATCAGGTTGTACACCTTTACCAGACACGGTAGGGGCCGGCGCTGTGGCGCAGTGAGTTAAAGCCCTGGCCTGCAGCTGTAGCATCCCATGGGACAGTGGTTCAAGTCCCAGCTGCTACACTTCTGGTCCAGCTCTCTGCTATGGTCTGGGAAAGCAGTGGAAGATGGCCCAAGTCCTTGGGCCCCTGCACCCGCGTGGGAGACCCAGAAGAAGCTCCTGGGTGCTGGCTTCAGCCTGGCCTAGCCCTGGCTGTTGTGGCCATGTGGGGAGTGAACCAGTGGATGGAAGACCTCTCTCTCTCTCTCCCTCTCTCTTCTATAATTCTTTCAAATAAAGAAATAAATAAATCTTTTGAAAAAATAGACACAGTAAAAAGCCACAATTTTTGATTGCCCAAACCCCCTCTTTAATCTAATAGCCCTGTGCCTGGCTGGACTGGCTAAGGCTGCTGGGAAGGACTCTGCATTAAAGGAGAAAACCCACACAGTGGACACTTCCTGTCCACGGCCGTGTGCTAGGCGCCGCATGCCTGCCCTCACACCGCCCCTCAGGCCCCTCGACTCCGCAGCCTCCATTATCCACTTGGCAGGCACACAGACTGCAGCGGGGAGCGTGTGGCACACAGAGGCAGGCCCCGGCCGGATCCGAGTCCAGGGCCTGCACGGCTGAGCAGCTCTCCCCTCTGAGTTTTCAGAAACCACACTTGTTTCACATCCAGCAAAACAGAAGCTGACAACAAGGGAAACCATGTAGGGAGAAATGAGTCAACCCACACTTGTCAGCCCGCAGCCCAGACGACGGGAGTCAGGGGCATCCCTGGGGCAACAGCACCACCTAGTGTCCACTGCCAAGAGCACGTGCAGCAGCTCTTGTCCAACTCTGCCTCTGCCACCATCTCCACCTCCCTCTGGCCACCGGATGTATTTCTCTCCAACTGCCCTGGGGACCCAGATACAGACATCTGGTCCCTTGTCTTCTCTGCCCTGCTTCTCACTGGCAGGACCTGGGGCTTGGCAGCTCTTGTCGGAAAAGCAAAGCACGGAGCATTAGACTGTCAGCTTGGGCACTGTTGACAGGGTGGGCCTCTGCTGTGGGGGCCTGTCCTGTGCACCACGGGACAGCAAACAGGACCCTGGTCCTGACCTTCTACACACCAGCAGCTCCCTCTCCACCTGGATCCTGACAACCAAGAATATCTCCAGACAATGCCCAATGTCCAATGTCCCAGGGCTCAGCACCCCAATTGAGGACCACTGAGCTAATGAGCCAGGGCCAAAACCCTGCCTCTGTGTGGCTTCTTGGCCAGGGCCTCAAGTTCTTCTCAGTGTGGACGCCAGCAGCACCAGCCTCTGCCTCTCAGATGAAGAAACGGGGTTGGTGAGTACAGGCACTAAGCTCAGAGCTCACTTCCGAGTCTGGCAGTGGGGCTGGAGCCAGAGGGCTGGGGGCAGAAGGCCGCACTGCTGCCTGCTCCTGTGTGGGGCTCTTCCTCACGCTGCGTCTTCCGATGTCAACTCCACCGGCTGACTATTCAGCACCTGCAGCTACCAAGAAGTCACGGAAGAGACGCCACCACTACAGAATCGTACAGCAGAGGGGAACTCTCACGCCCTGTCACACGGGGATACACACGGTGTCAGGGACTGGACTGGGTCCCACATAAACTGCAAATGCTGAAGTCCTGAACCCCACTGCGACCCTCTCTAGAGCCAGGGCTCTCAGGGGGTCATTATGGTTAAAGGAGCTCAGGAGGGTGGGACCCTAACCTGCCAGGCCCGGTGTCCCTGCGGGAAGAGGAGGAGACACCAGAGATTGATCTCTTTCCATCACACACACACAGAAGAAAGACTACACACAGGGAGAAGGTGGCTGCTAGGGCTGAGTGTGTTTCCCAGAGCTCACGTGCGGAGACCCTAACGGCTCCGAGGGCCGTGCTGGGGGTGTGCACGTCACGGGCAGGGCCCTCATGATGGGCTGATGCCTTCTTCCCGTGACTTCTCACTCTGCCAAGACTGTCTCGGTCGCCGGGAAGGCAGGCTGCTATACAGCACGGCCGCCACTCGCCTCCCCGCCTTGTGCATATGCCCGCTTGCCCTTCCACTTTCCACCAGGAGTGCAAACGGCACGAGGAGCTCACCAGTGCGATGCCCAACCTGGACTTCCCAGCCGCCAGCGCCGTGAGCCAAAATCAACCTCTTTCCTTTATTCGTGGCCTAGTCTTGGGACTTTGTTACAGCAACAGGAAATGAACTGAAACGCCGGCCATCTGCAAGCCAGGAAGAACGCCCACACCAGAAACCACGCCCGTGACGGCAGCGTCATCTTAGACGTCCACCCTCCAGAACTGTAAGAAGACACACTCCACGGCTCAAGACACCGAGCCGGTGACCTGCAGCCAGGGTAGCCCAAGGCACACACAGACACACGGAAGCGCGCCCAGCTCCCCCGATGCCCAGCAGTGTGGAGGCGCGTGCCAGCTCGTGCTTACACAGTGAGGTCTCGTGACTGATATTCTCGAAGAGAATGTTCAGGGTCTGCAGCAACTGGACGCACACGTAGCGGCCCGACTTCTGCCGCAGGATGTTCAAGAAGAAAACGAACATGTTCTTCTCCAGGAAGAAGCTGCGGAGAGAGCAGGCAAGGGTCAGCGGTTCACTCCGGACATCGCTGAGAGTCGCAGCACCCGCAGCACCCCCGCCCCGCCAAGCACTGCAGCGCCGCCACATCGCACGGCCGGCCTTGGGAGCCTGGCTTCCACAGCTTCCGGCTCCCAGGCACCTCCCAGCAAGGTTAACGTGCAACCTTTCTGCTCTTTGCCCAGACCAGAGCAGTGCCGGTGCCGGGAAGCCAGGAACTGGAACTGCGACACAGTAGGAAAGGGTCTTCGCCTCCGAAGCTCACACTTGTGAACTCAACAGGCAGCACTTCCCATCCGTTATTCTGGGTCCCAGGTTTTCCTCACTAAGCCTCTTTGCTCTGCTCTCTTGAGTGTTAAGGAACCCACACCTGGAATCCCTGCAAAGGCTACGATAACGCTGGTTCGAAGGGCGCTGGTTTCCAAATCGTCAGGTTTGCGGTTCCCCTATCTGGGAGAAAGGAACGGGAAGGAAACTCGAAGCTGCTGACATGGCACGGGACCCTCGTCAGGCCCCAGGTCCACTCTGCCTCTCTCCTGAGCAGGCCACTTGTCTGCATGCAGGCCCTGGGGGTACACGCTGGGAACACAACTGCCCCCTACTCCCAATGCCTCTCGTAAAGGGAGGCAGTGTTCCTCCCTGTGTGCCCTGCCCTGTACGTTCCGGACAGGCCCCGGCAGCCTCTGCTCTGGCGTCCTCAGAGGAAACCCCGCAGTCACGTGCGTGTGCTGGCCCACTTGGTCTTGAGCGTCTCTCGCCCTTTGTCTGCTGGCACACAGTGCAAGGATCATAGGCCTGGCCCGTGCTCCGTGCCCTATAACTGCCTTGAATCCAGGAAAGGGGTGTTTAATGAGCAAATATCATCCCCAACTACCCCCAAAATCTCTTCCAACTGTGGCCCCGGCAGCCTGGCTGCCTCTGACCCTTTCTGTCTGCCTTCGCCGCAGGGTGCACGCAGAGGGACTCCGAGAATCGCCGTCCGGCTCGCTACCGCGCAGCAGCCAACTGCGGGACGGCGCCCGAGCTGCTGCGCAATGTGAAGCCTGCGCTCTGAAACCCCTTAGGGGAGGAGGCAGCTCCTGAGCAAAGCGGCTGATTCCAGGGGAGGGCAGGGAAAAACCCAAGACGAGCCAACGCAGCTCACAGCACCAGGAAATAAGGAGCGGGAGGTCTGGATGGAGTTCCTGTGCCCGGCTTCAGGCTCGCCCAGGCCTGGCCACTGCGGCCATTTGAGGAGTGAACCAGAGGGTGGGAGATAGCTCGCTCTGGCTCTGGCTCTGGCTCTCTAACTCTTTGGCTCTCTGTCACTCTGCTTTAAAAATATATATAAATAGAGCCGGCGCCGTGGCTCAATAGGCTAATCCTCCACCTTGCGGCGCCGGCACACCGGGTTCTAGTCCCGGTCGGGGCGCCGGATTCTGTCCCGGTTGCCCCTCTTCCAGGCCAGCTCTCTGCTGTGGCCCGGGAGTGCAGTGGAGGATGGCCCAGGTGCTTGGGCCCTGCACCCCATGGGAGACCAGGAAAAGCACCTGGCTCCTGGCTCCTGCCATCGGATCAGCGCGGTGCGCCGGCTGCAGCGGCGGCCATTAGAGGGTGAACCAACGGCAAAGGAAGACCTTTCTCTCTCTGTCTCTCTCTCTCACTGTCCACTCTGCCTGTCAAAAAAAAAAAATATATATATATATATAAATAAAAAAAATAAACAATACTTAAAATGTATAGGCAAAATGGAGAAAAGAGTCACTTTATAGTAGAAAAATGTGGCAGATGCCAGCTTTACAAGGTGATGAAGGTTACCATCCCCGGAGAGGCAGTGTGGACATCATGCACGCCCTGTGACAATGGGATGAGAAGGGCACTTCCTGTCTCCAACCCCATCATAAGAAAATGACCCGACAGACACAAACCCAAACTGGGGGACAAGCCACAGGATGCCTGGATAGCATTTTTAGGGGAAGACTAAGAAACCACCACAGACAGCAAGAGACAGGGGAAGTGTGGTCACTAACTACACTGCGGGAGTCTGGATGGGGTCCCGGAGCGGAAAGAGGGTATTAATGAGAAACTGGCCAGATCCAAATCGAGTCCAGAGTTTACTTCAAAGTGCCGTGCCAAGGTCCGTTTCTGAGTTTTGACAAATGCATCGTGGTGGTGTGTTAAAAGTGGGCTCAGGCATGAGGCCTGGCAGTGACAATGCAGAGGACCTGGGTTCAGACCCCACCCACCTACATCTCCAGACTCTAGCTTCCTGCTAATGCACACCCTGGGAGTCAGCATGACGGCTCAAGGGACTGGGTTCCTGCCACTCACTTGGGAGACCTGAACTGAGTTCCTGGCTCCCGGTGTCAGCTCAGCCCTAACTGTACTGGGCATCTGAGGGACTGAACCAGCAGGTGGGAGCTCACCTGTCAGATGCTGTCTCTGTCTCTCCCTTTCTCCAAAACACTGATATTGATGATGAGGAAAACTGGGTACATGGGAACCTCCTGAACTACCTCTGTAACTTTTCTGTGAATCTAAAATTATTCCAAAATTGCAAAATTTATTTAAAATAAAACTTTCGGGGGGGATTCTGTTGGACAGTCATTTAAGGCTCACTGGGATTCTAACTGCTGTTTTTCTACAAAGACATATGACCTATAAAAGTCTATTTCCATAAAAGGGACACAACTTTTTGTTTGTTTTTATTATTTGGGAAACAGAGAGAGAAAAATAAACAGAGACAGAGGTCCCATCCGCTGGTTCATTTCCCAAATGCCTGCAGTGGCCAGAGTTGGGCTAGGCCAAAACTGGGAGCCAGGAATTCAACCCAGGTCTCCCCTGTGGCTGGTGGGAAGTCACACGCCGGCGCTATCACATGCTGTTTCGCAGGGTGCACACGACTGGGAAGTGAGAATCAAGAGCTGGAGCCAGGGACTGAAACTGGGTACTCCAACCCGGGGCACGGGCATCTGAACTGATGTTTCCACTGCTAGGCCAAACACTTACCCCACCTTTGCCTCCGAGCCTCCTGGGAGGCATGCCTGCTTTTGCCAGGTGCTGTGAGATATTTGGCACCCACTCGGTGCCAGGCGCTAGCTGGGAGACTCTCCTGGGAAGGTGAGGAAACAGGCTCGGGAAGATAAAGAGCCCGGCCCAAGCCTGCAAGTGTAAGGACAAGGATAAACTGGCTCACGGGCTCCGGGTGGAGACACTGCTGCATCACTACCAGCTGTGTGACCTTGAGCAGAACCAGGGACATCAATGGGGCCCCCACTGGGGCAGATGGGAGGCCCAGCTGGGTCAGCTCAGCACTGTGCCCGGCCCCCAGGAAGCCCAGTGACTGTGGGCCGGGGAGTCCCCCAGGGCGAGTCCCTCTGTTCACCCAGACTCCAACCACTCGGGATATTTTCCCCTTCAAAGGGGGAGATGGTCAGACACTACTTGGAAAATTACCCCTGACATGTCCAGGCTTTCTAGAGACACTCATTTCCATAACTCCTCCAATTCAAGGACATTTCATACAGACAGATCGTTTGGGCAAGACCAAATTAGCGTCAAGCTCTGACGTCATCAGCAATGACTCACAGTACACACTCGGGAAAACATTCAAAAGAAGACAAGGAACCAAAAACAAAACGCACGAGAAACTTACTCAAATACAGAGCTGTCATTCTGGTCTCCCCAGATCAGGATCTCGGTGATCGAACGGATGGTCTCCACCAGCAGGTTCCGGTTCTGTTCTGTGACTGTGGTGTTTTTGGTCAAAACGTGGTACAGATACCTGAGAGAAAGGCCAGGAGAGAAAACAGAAGAAACTGATGAGACATAACTCGCCACCAAGAAAAACGGCAGGTGAAGCTTTGAAGCCACACACACCAGGGACACACCAACCCAAACAAGCAGGGGGACTGTCAAGCCCTCCAGCCAGCCAGCCTCAGACCTCGACGTGCCCAGGCTCACCTGGAGGCCTGGATAACGCGGGGGCTGCTGCAGCCCGCCAGAAGACTGCTAAGGGCTCAGCAGAACGGAGCGAAGAGCAGGCACTGGCCTGGTTCACACATTCCCGGCGATTCCGGTGCTCAGGGCCAAATGCCTAACCCAGGCCCACTGCCAGGTTGATGCTGGGATTGACAAAGTGGCCATGGCTTAGAGAAGGTGGGTTCCACAGCCAACGGCTGGGACAAAAATCCTGCGCCAAAAAGATTACACCGGGGTGCTGTGATCCCAGCCAAGTGCAGCACACCATCAGAATTTAGGGCCCAAGCTAAGCACTTTGCAGTCCAGAGACAGCAAGTTCATTTACTGAGCACAGACTGTGAAATTCAGGATGAAATGGCTGGAGAGCCTACAGCACTGGAGTTCATCCATCCTGACAGGCCAGGAAGCCAGCCACTGGGGCAGACAGACACAGCCCAGTCCTCGGGGTCCCTCTGCTGGTAGTGCAGAAAACCAAAAATCCACAGAGGTCAGAGCTAAGCCATGCAGGGACCAGCAATCCAGCCACTTGTCCTCCCTTTTCAAAGGTTCATTTTATTTATTTGAAAAGCAGGGTGGCAGAGAGAGAGAGAGTCAGAGAGAAAGAGATCTTTCATCTATTGGTTCACTCTCAAATGGCTGCAATGGCTGAGGACTGGAAGTGGAGCAGCTGAGACTGAAACCAGTGTTCCCATCCAGGATGCCAGCCTGCAAGTGTGGCTTTACCTGCCGCACCACATCAGCCTCCTGGCACTGCTTTATGACTCCTCTGAGGGCCTGCATCTGACGAAGAAGCCTCAGGGTTGCGAATCAGGAACAGACACCAAGGGGAGAGACTCCGGAAAAGCGGCCTCCTGCTTTCTTTTACAGGAATGCTCAGTTTGGGGGTGGGGAGCGAGGGGGTGGTAAGAGCTGGACAGGGAGATTAGACCTAAAGTCTCTGAACCGGGGGAAGACAGAAAGAGGCAGAACCTCGCAGACGGAACACTACAAATAATCTGCGACTTTAAGGTAGTAGATTTTTAAGGTCTTTAAGGTCTGGGGATTATTTAGTAGTTTTCTGTGATGGTTTTTTTAAAAATATTTATTTTATTTATTTGAAAGACAGAGTTACAGAGAGAGAGAGAGAGAGAGAGAGGTCTTCCATCCACTGGTTCACTCCCCAAATGGCTGCAATAGCCGGAGCTGGCCCTGCTGATGGCCATGTTTTAAAGACACAGTACTTGCATAATCAAGCATTTAATGAGTTTAATTAATTAGAAGTTGTAAGAAATTTTTAACTTGCACCAACTAGTATAGCCCTCCCAAATAACAAATTGCTCAGTGCGCCAATCTACTGCCAGAGTGGCATGTGGGGGACCAGGTCAGGTACCCTCTGTGGTAAGGTTCACACAGAACATGAACTACCCTGGGGTGGGTCACAGGGGACCCCTCACAGCTGTTCCCATTGTTTCTCAACTACATCTTCCCCGAGAGGCTCCAAGAGCAGTTTTCCAAGCAGCAATCCGCAGGCCTCCTGCATCAGAATCACCTGTCTCTGTCACCGCCTATCCCAGCGCCACTGCACCTGTCTCTGTCACCGCCTATCCCAGCGCCACGGACTCCACGCTCCCTGTGCCGTCCGCAGGTGCTCTGCCAGGGACAAGGCACTGCCAGCAGTGTGGGGAAGGGAAAGGTTCTCCCTGACTCTGGAGTTCTCTTCTCTTTTCATCAGCATCACACACGACACTGCTGGCCACTGGGAGGCAGCAGCCGGGGTGAGCAGGCCTGCTCTGAAGACCCTAGATAGACAAGGATGGGATAGTTTAAACTCCTCAGGACCAGGGTGGAATCCAGCTGACTGGGCCTTCTGCCTCCAGGCCCTGGACAGGTCCCGGATCACGGGCACCTTTGTACACACACATCTGCTCCTGCAGACTGTGTTCTTGGACAAGGCACGCCACTGCTCAGAGTCCTCAAAATGGCGCTAACTGTGCCATTCTGCAGACTCAGTGGGAATGCCTAGGAAGAGCCAGACACCGCGCCTGGCACGCAGCGAGCACTCCACAGAGCATGGTTACACTGTGATCACTCTGACAGGGGCCACATTAACATCCTTGCCAAATCATGCAAAGAACATTCTAGGAACTGGGGCCAGTGAGTGGGCATGGTGAGTTAAGAATATTCTAGGAACTGGATCTGGTCAAGGAAAGAGGACCTCAGAGAGAAGTGGTGATAGGAAGGTCCAGACAAACCAGAGCAGGAAGTGGACAGTCTGCGTCATTTCCTGAGAGGCGGCAGAGCACGCTGGGGCCATCATGCCTGGGCCTAAGCACTTACTACTGGTGGCTCTTGAGCAAGTTACTCCATCTCTGTGCACCTCAATTATCTCACCTATAAAATGGGAGCAGCAACAGTACCTAAATACTTTAGTATCTATCTATTAGGGTGTCGGGAGGAATAAGTAAGAGACAGCTAACCAAACCAAGTATTAATATCATTGCTTCCATTACATAGCTGGGGCAGCAGGGGAGGTAGGGGGGCCCTGACCGACAGGGAAAAGGCAGGATGGTAAATCCTCAAGAGTCCAGGAGCTCTCATGGGCCTGGCTCTGTGGGAAGACTGCCCATGACAGTCAGACTCATGGCACCGTGGGGACGTGCCCACTACTGCCACTGCACAGACCAAGACAGCCCTGAGGCCTGGGGATGTTCAGCAGCAGCCCAGGGCCATGGGCATGGTCTGCCGGTTCCACTGGTTCCATGCCTCCCCAATACTTCGTGCGCCCTGGCTCTCTCGGGAACCATTCTGCTGGGTGGAGAGTGACATGGCATCTGGGTTTCATGAAGTGAGTGCCTTTTCATATGCATTTATGGGCCACTTGAGTACCTTCTTTTGTGGAGCTGGTATTGGTGTAGCAGGTAAAGCCACTATCTGCAACACCAGAATCCCATATGGGTGCTAGTTCGAGGTCCAGCTGCTCCATTTCAGATCCAGCTCCCTGCTAACGACCTTGGAAAAGCAGCTGAAGATGACCCAAATGCTTGGGCCCCTGGTACCCTTGTGGGAGAACCGGATGAAGCTTCAGGCTCCTGGCTTCAGCCTGGCCCAGCCCTGGCTGTTGCAGCCATCTGGGGAGGGAACCAGCAGGTAGAAGATCGATTGCTCACTTGTGCGCGCTCTCTCTGTCTCTTCCTAACTCTTTCAAATAAATAAATCTTGTTTAAAAAATCATCTTTCCTGAGCTGCCTGTAGAAGTCCTTTGCCCATATTTATTAGCCCAGGTGTCTTTTTCTTAGTTATTTGGTCCTTTTTTTAAAAAAAGATTCATTTATTTATTTGAAAGTAAGAGCTACAGAGATAGAGACAGAGATCTTCCATCCACTGATTGGCTCCCCAGATTGTCACAATAGCCAGGGTTGGGCCAGGCTGAAGCCAGGAGTCAGGAGCTTGCTATGGTTCTCCCACAGGGGTTGCAGGGGCCCAAGCACTTGGGCCATCTTCTGCTGCTTCTCAGGCCATTACCCAGGAACTGGATTGGAAGTGGAGCATCTGAGACACAAACCGGAACCGTATCGGATGCTAGCACTGCAGGCGGTGGCTGTACCCTCTATACCCCAACACCAGCCCTGGTCATGTTCTTATACACTCTGAACAAAAGTTCTTCACTGCTTATACATACTACGAACCTCTTCTCTGACTGCAGCTTGCCATTTTGCTCTAATTATAGTGGTCATTTGATGAACATAGGTTAATTTTAATGAAAACCAGTTTATCAATATTTCCCACGGATAGTGTTTTTTGTAGGAAGCTTAAGAAATCCTTTCCTACGCAAGGCCATGAAGGAATGTCATTTTCTTCCAGCGAAGTTCTGGTTTTAGCCTTCATGTTTCGACCCAGACTACATCTGGAACTGACTTTTGTGTATAGTATGAGGTATGGGCCAAATTAACATTTTCTCTGTGGAGATCTGGTTGACCCAGCACCATTTACAGAAAAGGCCCTCATTTCCGTGTCACCTGCGCCACTCATCAGGGGACTCCACGAGTGAGCTTCTTTCTGGATGCTCCAGTTTCATTGGTTTATTTTTCTATCCTTGTGCCAACACCAGGCTGGCTGATTAGAGCAGCTGTATCATAACTCTGGCTGTGGGGTACTAGAAGCCCTCTACCTTCTCTATCTTTGCAACATTGTATTAGCTATTCTTGTTCTTCTACATTTCCATACACATTTAAAAATCACATTCTCAATTTCCACAAACACACTACTAAGATTTCTGAGATTGCCCTAAAGTTATAGCTAAATTTGGAGAGAACTGAATACTTACAACAGTGTAGTAATATGATATTTACAGCATTTCCTCCACCGTTTGCTGGGCAAGGTCCTGCACATCTTTTGTTGAGATCTACTCCTAGGTCACTGTTTCCTGATGCACCTGTGAAAGCCGTTGTTTTGTTTGAACACCCATTGTCTCCTGCCTGCTGCTGGAACAGAGAAACGCCCACGGGGCTCCCGCTCTGAGCTCCATGATGCTTCGCCTGCACTGCTCACCTCTCTGTCCCCAAACTGCCCTAGTCCTGGTCCAGGGAATGCCTTAGGGAAAAGTCTTCCGTATGTCTGGAGCAGCTGGGGGCAGTGAGGGGCAGTGGTAATGCTGCATCTAATTCCAGAGTTCTGTAGGATCAAACAATTCAATTGTCCTAGAGATACATAATTTTAAGACTTTCTGACTACAAATGCAGCACTACACTTAGAAAGGCTGAAAGCTTCAACCACAGCAGAAGAGAAGAAACGGTGGATCGTGCCACTGCCTGGAGCAGCCGGCAGCCGGCAGCAGTGCAGCTGCCGTCTAGGTCTCTGGGTCTTTTTCTCCGAGGTGGGTATTTACCTAGTTGGGCTCACGTTGCATACCCATTGGCATGACCCATCTTTCTTCCTACCTCAGCTAAAATAAAACCACTTTTGTTACTGACCACTGTGTGCAAGTATCTGTAGTGGCTACCAAGTACTGCACTGGAAGGAGGGGCACATACGTCACATTCCTGAGGGCTTAGGAGTCCTAACTGGTGGAGGAACCAACAATGCCGCAGTGACCATCATTGCCAGCAAAGGGGCGGCCCTATCTCAGATCAGTTTCCGAGACAGTATGATTACCTTGGACGTCCACAGCAAGTCAGGATCATCCTCCTACAATGCTAAGGACTGTCACAATGACATTTCCTCCCTCAGTCTCTGTGTGGGTTTAATCTGCATCGTGGTAGGAACAGCTGAAGCTTACTAGTGCCAGGCTCTGTTCTGAGCTGCAGTTCCATTCACTCAGCTACCCCTGCAAGAACCCTGTGGTGCTGATGCCCGGTGCACGGGGGAGCTGAGGCTCTGGGAGCCAACACAGCCCGGACAAAGCCAGGAGGGGGACCTGGCAGTCGGGCTCCAGACGCCATGCTTAGAATCGTCCCATAGAGACAATGCAAATAACAAACAGCACTGCGCTAGCTAAGCATGTACGTGTGCGTGTCTGGCATACAAGAAAACCAAGAGATAAACAGCAGTCTGAAAAGGCCACAGCGGGCCTTACGGAAAGTCCTTCCAGCCGACTCATACTCCATTTCCTCGGAAAAGAGCCAGTATCCTCATGTCCACAACAGCAGCTCTGCCGATGTGGGGTCCACTCGCAGGCCCTCGCACAGGAATAAGCTCTACACCAACAGAGAAGCTGGAGAGGTTGAAATGCCTGGAGACCGAAGAGTTGCAACCTCCTGCCAACATGCAACCCACACTCTACAGGTTCATCGCCAAGGACTACGGACAAACCCTGCTTTCTCCAGAGACCCACTGCCTTGACAGGTGAAACCGCTGCATTAAAGAAGTCCCACGCCTCACAGAAATCAGTCACTTTGTCCATCTCAGAAACAGAAGCGCCAGGTCCCAGTCTGTCCTCAGTGACTGCACTTTCTGAGGACAGCGGCAAGTTCTGTGACCTGTACCATATTATGCCTCTTATGCTCAAATGGGAGCAGTGGAAATGCTAAGTCTACGGGCCTACAAACCCACCCTCAGTGCACACACAGTAACAGCAGCCCAGGTGTCGGAGAGATGGGGGACATGGAGCCTATGTCTGCTTGGCCTGCTCGGCACCAGCACAGAGACCCTCCACACACTCCCTAGCACAGCCCACTCTGTGCCTTGAAAACCACCATCCAGCAGGCCCCGGAGCAGCCACGCGGGCGGAGTCAGCCTTGGGAACCAGGGGAAGGTGTTCACAGGCTCCTCTCGGTGAATCACTCAGCAGAGATGTCAAACCCGGCTGGCGGGTGAGGCTGGGCCTGGGATACTTGGTGAGGGTGGGGGCAGGACTTACCTCCCTAGAGAAGTCACTGCACCGCCACAGGCACTGCAGGTGGTTGCTAAAAAGCTGGCCAGAACGGGCCTCTTCCACTCGGCCTCTGTCAACTCTTTGTTGCCGCTTACTACGTTCCTGTCCCGTGCTGGCAGCCAACAGTACCCAGCAGAACAAGCCACACAGGTCCCTACCTCCCTGAAGTTTATGTGCACATTTGGAGAGACAGAGAGATTCTAACACGGTGAGACCACCGGAGCTGGCAAGGAGACGTGCCTGAGGAAGCCTGGGCCCTTTCCAGGCGGCCAAGTCAAGGCCAGGATGAAGGTCCAAGCAGCGGGACCCAACAGGGACCCAGTCCTGGCGGATGCAGACAGTAAGTGAAGGGTTGACAGAGCGGGCCAGGGAGAACAAGCCCAAGGAAGTGAGCTGACAGCAAAGCTCTCGTGAGGAACTTTTATGTAAGAAAGGGCTACGCACGTGGATGGGCGGAAAGGAGAGAGAAAGGGAGCTCAAGCAGACAGAGCAAAGGGGCAGACACGTGAGCAGGCAAGGTGTGTGTCCGTGAGCGACAGAGAAGCGTGGCCACCGCAGGCTGCCGAGGTGACTCAAGCGTGGACACTGGCCTCCAGTCTGGCCCCCTCCAGGCCACTGTCCCAACTTCAGCCAGACCACAGCACTCCTCTGCTCAAAAAACACAAAGCCTTCCATGGCTCCCCACTGCCCACAGCCTAACTTCCAGATTCCTTACCATGTCTACAAAGCCCAGGGGATCTGGCCTCTAGGGACCTCCTGTGCCCCTCACTCCTCTGCCCTTGGGTCCTAAACATCCCCTTGCCCCAGCCCTGGGCCTCACCAGCTCTCCCTGACGGAAAGACCCAGCTCTGCCGATGTGCACAGTTCCCCACGCGGGGCCTTCTCAAACCCCTCTGAAACACGCTCCCACCTCCTGCCTGCTGACAACCGCTCAGCACCCAGGTCTGCAGTATGTGCCCACCAAGGATGTTGCTGAGCCCCTGCGCTCCCAAACAGCATAGGCGGGAACAGAGCCGGGGTGCTCTGATGGGCCAGGAGAACTTAGACTTGACACAGTCTGCCCTACTATGAGAAATAAACGTACCATAAGAAAATCAGTCCGGCAACCCTCACCCCAGACTCTGAAACTCTGGGTGCTATCTTAGCCAAAAGTTGAATATGCCAAGCATAGGCGAGCACCTGCCTGCTAGGCAGACATTCCTCCCCTTCTGTGGGTAACAACCCTGCTCCCTCCAACAGGAAGCACCCCTCCCCCTCACTGTCCACCAGCTTGGGTGCAGCTCCAGGTAGGGCATGTGAGGAAGGCTTGGCCACTTAGCACACCTCACACCCCTGGGGATGGCACATAACCTAGGGTGGTCACAACACGAAGAAAAGCGACTGCCTGTTTCCCAGGGATTGCCCAACTGATGTGCTGTGAACTGGAGCCTGACAAGGATACCAACGTGGAAGGAAGCAGAGCTGAGAAGGGGAAGGAGACAGATTCCATACAGCTTCGTCTAACCACTGCAGTTCACCATGGCTGTGTCTGGACAGGCCATTCAACCGAGCCCACTTGGGGGTAAGGCAATTCCAGTGGGTTGCTGTCACCTGCAGCCTAGAGTCTTGAGCCACTCACAAAGGTGACCAAAACTAAGGCCAAATACAACATAACCAGTTCCACCCGCCACGGACTGGCAATCCCTGGTAGAGATGCCGTTTCAGTAGCTGTCAAGTGACGCCATCAGTAGGGGCCCTGCTGGCAGTGGGCGTGTACCAGTGGCACAGCCTTGCCACCACCAGTCTGGGCAAAGCACCACTCGTGATGTGGAGCAAACAGCTTCCTGACTATTTCAATCGCCTCGATTGAAATCACAAACCCGGCTCAGCAGACAAAGCCACAGGTAGTTTCCCATGAGTTCGCCACAGCAAAACCCTGTCTCCCAGGCCCTCCGGGTTTACAAGCTGGGAATCTCATAGACAATAACTTGGTTTTAAAGGGGTCTCTAGCTCTCTGTAACTATCTTCTAAATCCTTCTGTAAATCTCAAATTGTTCTAAAAAATAAGTCTTAAGAAAAGAGAAGAAAGCATCCAGATGCATTGTGTGCCAAACAGTAACAGCAAAATATCAATTCTAAACTCTCTTAAGTTTCTAAACTTCTCTCCACACAGTGCCCTAGGCCAGGGCGAGTGTTTTAGGAACTGTCACCCGTCAGTGGAAGAGTGAACCATTTGTTCTGGGGCGCCCAGGACTAAGCCACTGCTAGTGCTGAAAGGCCACGTCCTGGAAGACCTCTCAGCGCCCCCGGTCACCCCGCGTGTCACATCACACCCAAGTCCATTCCCACCCCCAGCCCTGTTCCCACAGCGAACAGCTCCCTCTCCACATGCCACAGAACTCAGGGTCCCAGCAATGGTGACCCCTCCGTGGCGACTCATGCCCATCCCTGGAGACTCACTCTGGTAGGGCCTCCACCAAAAAGTGCCTAAGAAGGGTTCCCACAGAGCCCTGCGCCAGCTGCGAAGCCAGCACCCGACACACTGGACAGTCATGGACTCTGGCTGTCCCCACCCCCATCCCCCACGGCAGCCTGCAAGCCCCCTCAGGAAAGGAGCTGTCCAGGACGGTTCCTGCTGGCGCCAAGCTCAGAGCAGCGCAGACCCAGGTGGGCCCGGCTGCCCGTGGCTCTTTTCCATGTCACGGTGGATGTCTCAAGGCCCACAGCAGCACACAAATCGCCAGGTTCTTCAGGCTGTAATACGGATTAAGCAGATCTACCCGACCCAGGGCAGCAGCTCAGGTTTCTGACAGGTCCATGACCTAAACAACGAACGTGGGCAGATCCCAGGACACCGCGAAGGAACCCGAGAACCTTTACGGCTCCCTCCTTGGCCGGCTGGCAAGGGTACCCCACAAGCAACTGGTCTCAGGCAAGCTAAAGCCTCCCCAGACTGAGCTGCCAGGAGACTGCATTCAGAAAGAAGCATAGTGACTGCAACCCTAGGGCAAGTGACTTGAGCTCCTGGAACCTTAGTTCCCACTTCCAAAAAATCGCGACAGTAACAGTTCCTGCAGTGCACAGGCTGGGGTGGGGGGGAGCTAAAGGAAAGAATGTCACAGGAAGTCCATAACAAGTACCTGACTCGGGTAAAGCAGTCAAGAAACATTCAAGGAACTTAAAAGGGCGGGAGTCGGCAGTTAGGCGAGAGCCCAGGGGCACCTGTGTGCTGACAGAGGCCCCGCCTCCCCCGGGTCCCCAGGCTCCCCTAGGACACACCCACCCACTCACTAAATTCTTCCAAGTCCTCAAGCCACTCCCTCTCCCCAGGCCCGCCAGCTGCCCTCCCTTTCAAGACCACGAACATTCATGAAATGCCTGCTCACTGCCAGAAAGACACAGCTGAGAATCCCCAGGGGCCAAACGAAAGCCCCCATGGGATCCTCTCCACAGGCCCCCTGTTCCTCCTGTTCCCCGCCACCTCCCAAATTCCTGTTGGTCCTCTCGAATCTCAGATCCCTAGGGGACCAGCCCCTCCTCCCTACTCCCCCTGTCAAGTGCCCCCCCCACTTCCTCCCTCAAGTCACTCCCCCTCAAAGGTCTTCACTTCCCTGTCACGGCCCCACACCTGCGTGTCCACCTGCACGCTCTGCTCCTAACTCATTTTTTTTTTTTTTTTTTTTTGGACAGGCAGAGTTAGACAGTGAGAGGCAGACAGAGAGAAAGGTCTTCCTTCCATTGGTTCACTCTCCGAATGGCTGCTACGGCCGGCGTGCTGCACCGATCTGAAGCCAGAAGCCAGGTGCTTCCTCCTGGTCTCTCATGCAGGTGCAGGGACCCAAGCACCTGGGCCATCCTCCACTGCACTCCCTGGCCACAGCAGAGAGCTGGACTGGAAGAGGAGCAACCGGGACTAGAACCCGGGGTGCCGGCGCCGCAGGCGGAAGATTAGCCTAGTGAGCATCCACGGAGCTCCTGCGGTGTGCTAAACGATAGGAATCCAGCTGTGAACAAATCAAGAGTGCCTGGCCTCCTGGAAGCAGCGGTTTAAGAAACTGAAAAGGCGTACACACAAACGGGCTAACAGCAGATCCCGGAGGAGCTCCGGATGAACCGACCAGAAAGGTCAGCGGGGGAGGGAACGGGCTGGGGGAGTGGTCTGAGAGGGCTCCTCAGGCCAAGGAAGCCGGCCACCACCATGGGCTACCGCTCGGTCTCTTTCCCCCATTCGCAGATGAGGTGAAGTAATTTGTCCAAAGTCACACAGTCGGGAAGCGGTGAAGTCAGGATTCGAAGGCAGGGCTGACTGCAAAGCCACTCTCCCAATCTGTTCATCTCCCTGCACGCCTGCAATCCCAGGGCCCTGTTTGCCACCTGTCTTCCCCCACACCTCTAGTTCTGCTTGCCCTCTGCTTAGGCTCCCCCAGAAAAATACCCTGTTCCTTTCATTTCTGCCCTTTACACGTTGTGAGCTGTATCTTCATTTTCTTATCCAACGAACCCTCAGGACGATCGCAGGAAGCAGGCGCTGTCACTCTACCCATTACACACCTGCGGCAACTGAGGCCTAAATTCACACACCTAGACTCGAATCCAGAGCTGCCCGGCTCCAGAATCCAAGCCTTGGACTCCTAAACCGTCCAGACTACGAAGCACCCCTCCGGGAGAGAGCCTGGTGACCACCGTCCGCCCCGCGCAAGAACCAAGTCCGCATTCGTAACCGAAACCTCACTCCCTTACTTGACAGGTCGAGCTGTGGAGACTACAAGAAACCAAGCGACTCGTCCAAGGTCACACAGCCAGGAGCGACGGGGTCAGGGTTCGAACCCGAGCGCTCTGACTCCAGAGTCCTCGCTCACAACCACCCAGCCTCCTCGGGCGCCCCTCTCGGCCTCCGCCCCCAACCTCGGCTCTCACACAGCCCTGCGTCCCCCGCACGGGGCTCTGCGCCCCTATCCCCAAGCCTCATCCGCGGCCTCCCCCTCCGCCCCCTACACACTTACTTGAGGTGGTCCAAGGAATGGATGTTGCGGGAGGACTTGCCATGGCCCCCGCCCACCCAGCTCCGCGAGCGGCCAAACATGTCGGCGGCCCCGGCCCGTCGCTCTCCTCACGGTCTCATGCCCCAGCAGCCGAGCGGCCTGGCGCCCGCGGCGGCAGCTCAAGCGGAGGAGGCAGCGGCGGAGGTGGTAAAGGGACCGCCAACCACCTCCCTCCCCGGCCCGCAGCCCCGCACTGACATTCAGCCGGAACCGGCCGTTCGACCGCCGCGCTTTACGGCCGCCAGTACGAGGAACTCTGGGAAATGCAGTCCACTCGCAAAGCCCCCGGCGACAAGACTCTACGAACGGACTACAAGTGCCGGCGTGCACCACGCGGCCTCTGAGAAGAGGCGGGGCGAGAGGCGAGGAGGCGGGGCGAGAGGAGGAGAGGCGGCCAAGTAGTCCGAGTGGGCGGGAATGGAATCCTGTGGGCGGAGTCCCAAGGGAATTGTTGAAGATCAATCATCTTCGCGGTGTAAACAATTATTAGCTTTATGACAAAAGTAGGAATAGCTAATGCATGGCGTATAGTGCGTTGCCACTGTCCTTAGCACTTTACATATATTAGGATGTTTAATTCCCACGACAACCCTATGAGATGGATATTATTATTATCCCCATTTTATCATCCAGAAAACTGAGTCAGAGATGAGCTGACTTGCCCGAGGTCACGCAGTTAGTAAGTGGCAGAACCAGGGTACAACCCAGGTATCCTTATTTTCATCTCCCCAGTAAACCAAAACTGTACCCGATCTGGAAATGGCCCCTCTTGTCCTTGTCTTCCTCTACTTCAACGAAAAATATATAGAAAGGCCTGCAAGCAATGATGTGGCAACTCTGAACACCCTGTACTTTCAAAAGATCTCTCTGGTCTTCACCCAAAATCCAAGCCATTTCCCAAACAAGAAAGGAGACACCCAGCTTTCTATGGGAGCCAAGAAGATGTATTCCATTTCTGCCCGGGAAGCAACACTTTCTGTTCACCATCCTCTTCCTCATTCACTTCGCCATCTCACGGTTAAGCTGCCTGTGCCCCACGACCTGTGTCAGGCTAGGAGCCAACGTTCTCCCCGCAGGCTGGCACACAGCAGGTGTTCGGCAAACGCTGGCAGAGCGAATGGACCAGGGTTTATTTCGCCTTTGGCAGCTGGAGAAATGGAGACCAGTGCTGGGTTAATGGTTCGCCTTGTAATTCAGGCGACAGAAAACCAAGGAGGGGGGAAAAGGAAAAAGGCCAGAGCTGGCCTCGGAAGACACACCCAGCCTGGTAGGTTGGAGTCCCTTCACTTCCCTGGGCCTCAATCCCTCAGCTGTAACGCACTCCACTGCTTTTTTCTGCTCCGGGCGAGCGATGCGCGTGAGGCACCCAGCTCAGTGTGGTCTCAAATTGAAAGGCTTCTGCAGCCACCTTGGGGGTGCTTTCGGCGCGGCAGACTCCCAAAGGACCTGCAAGAGCTGCCCGCGAACATGCGAATCGGTGGAAGACAGGCTCACTGTTGTCCGTTCTTGGTTGTTTGAATGTCTACCCACTTGCCTATGGTTGCCGCTTTGTAAGAGTCTAGTATGTATGTATGTATGTATGATACACAGGCAGACACAGAGAGCTCCCATGCCCTCTGGTTCACTCCCGAATGTGGGCAGCCAGAAGCTGGGAACTCAATCCGGGTCTTCCACACGGGTGGCAGGGACCCGGTCACCTGGCCGACATGCTCCTGCCTTCCAGGTCTGCACTGGCTGAAGCAGGGAGGCAGAGCTGGAGCCAGGAATCCAACCCAGGCATTCTGATGTGGGCCCCGGGCAGCTTAACCGCTAGGGCAAACAAGACAGCTGCCCACGGGCACACACACACACGCACACACACGCACACATGCATATGCACACACACAATACATGCACACATGCATACAAAATACATACATGTACACACATATACATGCATAAGTACACTCACGCACACATATGCACATGCACAATACACACATCACACACATGCACACATTCGCACATACACACGCGCACACGCATGCACACACAATACATACGCACATCACACACATGCATGCATACGTACATTCGCACACGTATGCACATACACTATGCACACACATGCATGCATACATACATTCGCACACACACACACACACACTATCCCCGGCTGAAGTTCCGAGCCGCCTGCGGTTCTGCCCGCCCAGGCGCCCCGGAGCCTCTGGGGCAGGTGCCCAGCGGGGGCCCTCCGCAGCCGGAGTCCGGAGCGGCCCGCGCCGGGCGCACAGTGGGGCTGCGGAGAGGTCGGCGCCCGCCGCCAGTCCGGCAGGCTCCCTCGGCTCTGCAGTCCGGCGTCGACGAGCAGGGGCGAACTTCGCTCACCCTCTGCCCCTCACCCTGCTCCCTGGAGCCGCGGGGCGAACCTCAGTCGAGATCCCGGCGCAAAGCCGGACCGGAGCCGCAACTCCGGGGCGGGCGCTCCTCCGCGGGGCGGGGTGCAGCAGTGCCCGCCTCCCGGCGGCCTGGGCCAATCAGTGTAGGCTGCGGCCGACCAATGAGAGCGCGCAGGGTGCGCGGGGCCAATGAGCGCCGGGCCGCTCGGGGGGCGGTGCTCGGAGCGCCACCCTGAGGGGACGCGGCGGCCGCAGCCATGGGCGCTAGGCCTGCGGGGGCGCGCAGGGGGCGCGAGGAGCGGCCGAGCCAGGCGGGAGACGCCGCGGCCGGGACTGGCCGTCGACCCTGAGCCGCCGGGGGATCCCCGCCCGCGCTGCGAGGAGGGCCTGTGGGCGCTAGCGGGGCGCCTCGGGGGAGCCGGGCCGGTCGGCAGGGGCGCGTGGGCACATCGGGGGCCGCGGTGACCACCCCACCCCCTGCCCGGCACGGTAGGGGGTCAGGGCGCGTCCGCAGCGGCCGCCGCACCTCCGCGGCTGGGGAATCTGGGGCCCAGGGCCGCCCCCGGATGGCTGAGCTGCCCCCGCGCCGGCCGCCCGGTCGCCGCAGCGGCTGAGCTCGCCGCCCCCTGCATGCCCGGCGCCCGGATCGCAGCCCACCTGGACGCACTGGGCCCCCTGGTCCCCTACGTGCAGCCTCCGCTGCTGCCCTCTATGTTCTTCGTGGGCCTGTTTTTCGTCAACGTGCTGATCCTATACTACGCCTTCCTCATGGAGTACATCGTCCTCAACGTGGGCCTCGTCTTCCTGCCCGAGGACCTGGACCAGGCGCTCGTGGACCTCGGCGTGCTCTCCGACCCCGGCTCGGGCCTCTACGAAAGACAACCTCGGAAGCTCGAATTTTTCGATGGGGTACTTGGAGTAAGGACCTGGGTTTCCAAGGCCCCCGCCCCGAAACCCCCCGGCCGCAACCAACCCCCCCGCTTTAAGGCCCCCCCCCCCTGGTTGGAGCCCCCCCCCTGGATGGGGGATGGGACCTCAGGCCGAGGCCCGCCCCTGCCCCGGAGGCCTGTAAGTGCCCACCTGGGTGAACAAGGGTGGGTGGGGACGCTGGTGGGAGACGGGACACCTTCCCTACCGGCCCACCCCCAGCTTCCTCCTCTTCTCCTCCTCCTCGGGCTTGGCCCGACCCCTCTTAGACCCTTTGTTGGGCCTGGAAGCCTTCCGCCTCTGAAACGGGCAGCTGTGGAGGAGAGGGTACCCAGGGCCTAAGTGACTTAGGGAGTCCCCCCCCCCCCCCGGGACCTAACCCCACGACTTGTGGAAAAAGCCTTGGTACCCAGATCCACTGAAGGCAGAGCTGTCGGCTCCTCCCCCACCTGCAGCCTGTCTCGCTGGTGACCTTGGGTTTTGGGGGGTGCTCACTAGTCCTCGAGGGATAAAGACTTAGGGGTGTCAGGAGAGATAGAGAGCCAAGCACCGGGGGACCCCTTCGTACTGTGACCCTTTGAACAGCTGGGGGGGATTGTGTGCAGGGCTGTGAGAAGGAAACCTCCAGCAACGAACCCAGCACTTCCCGTTGGCCTTGGCTTTGCTGCTGTTTGGGAGTCGGGTTTCAGGTGGCCCAGCTCCCGGTTCTGCAGCTCAGATCTGCAGGGGCTGCCAGGGAACAGGCAGGCTGGGGTAGGGTGAGGGGGAGTGGTGCTGGGGCTGGCTTCGCCTGCGGTGGTTCTAAGACCTCAAGGGGTTCTTGGGTCAGCAGGAGACGGGCCCACCGGTCATTGCACTGAGCTATGAGAACCCTGCCTCTGAGCTTCGACCTGGGAGCTTTGCATCCAGCCCGCCTTGCATGTTCCAGGGAGGAGGCGGACTCGGCCAGAGTCATCCGGCTGAGAAGAGGGGGCCCTGGGGGGAGAGCCTGGCTGTAGGCAGCCGTCGGGTCCAGCGGAGGGCTGCAGGGCTGGCAGGGGACCTCGGTCGGATAGTGCTGGATGACCACTTGGGTCTGGGCCCGAGGGGCATGGAGGGGGGATGCTGAGGTGGCGGGCAGGGCTCTTTTGGAAAATGGCCACTGACAGCACTTATCCCGGACAGGATGCTCACTCATCCTCTGTGTTGCCTGTCTGCCCACGTGGCCACAGTCAGGTTGCCCTCGTTCCGGGGTGCCGGGGCAGACTTCCTAGACTCAGGGATGCAAACAACAGGCATCTCTCACAGCTCTTGTCAGGGCGGTCATCCCACTTACGAGGACTCCACCCTGCTGACCGAACACCTCCCTGTCACCCGGGGAAGCACGGACATTCAGTGTGTTGCAGGGGGCCATGCAGGGCTGGGCAGGACCTGCTGGCAGTAGTGCACGGTCAGAAGGCTCCCTAAGGGTCAACAGTGGGAGTTCTCTGTAGTCAACTTCCGTTGAGCTGAGTGAGGTCTCATTAGGTGCCAGGTACCCCTCATACGGCCCCAGACTGCTGTCTGCCTCCTTCCGTCCACCCTCCAGCCTTTTATTGTGCCAGTGCTTATCTGTTCAGTCCCGGGTCTTGGGGTGGACATCACATGCAGGGCAGACTCAGCCCTGGCCCACTGGCACTCGGTGCAGACCAGCAGGGTGCAGACAAGGTCCTTGGAGCTGGTAAGCACTCGGAAGACAGGGACGAAGGACAGGAACTTCCCCCGTTGTGTTCGCTGCAGTTTCCTGGCCCTGGGAAGATGTCCAATGAGTAAGACACGAGGACAGGACAGGCTGCCTTCCCAGGGAGTCAGAGAATCTCTGTAGAGATGACACATTTGGGCTGGACCCTAAATGAGTAGAAGGAGCCAGACATGAAGATACGGAGACGAGCGACCCAGGCAGAGGGAACTGCCAGTACCGAGAACTTGGGGCTGGCCGGAAGGAGGCTGCAGTGGCTGGAGTGCAGCCCTGGGAGGAGTCCGTGAGGGCAGCAGAGGCCACACCGGGCAGGATCTGGCAGGCCAAGGAAGTGGGAAGCCAGGGCAGGTTTCAGGCAGCAGGGAACACGATCCAATTCACATCTTGCAGAGGCGACTTTGGAGGGGCGGGTAGAAGGCAGAAGGGGCAAGTGTGGACACAGGGCAGCCAACTGGGAGGCCGCCGTCCCAGCCCGTGGTGACAGAGCCTTGATCAGGCAAGGTGGATGGAGATGGGGAACCGGAGCAGCCTGAGAACACCTGGCAGAGGTAGGACCTGTGGGATCCGGTGTAAGTCTGTCCCGAGCACCGATCATGTGGCATTCCTGGTTCCAGGCCCTTTGTGTGTTCACTCATTCTTTTTGTTTTAAAAAATGTATTTATTTATTTGGGAGGCAGAGAGAGAGAGAGACAGAGCCAGGACTCGAACCAGCGTCTATATGGGATGCTGGCTTAACCTACTGTACCACGGCGCCGGCCCCACTCATTTAGTCTTTCAACAAACATTGGCCCTGCCTGTTCTGCCAGGCCATGTGCTGGACTCGGGTGCCCCGGGCTGCATCCCTGTCCCCAAGCCAAGTGCCTGAGTCCCAGTGAACTTGGTGAAGAATGCCGTCTTCTGTCTGCCACATCAACAGACACACTTCCTCCTCCAGATAAAAACATTGGCATAATGTGAACCGAAAACTGAAGCCCAAATGCTTTGACATATTTTGCAGCAAACGCTGTTTGGAGCAGAAACAGCAGCAAGTGTCTCTCAGGGAGTGACAGGACCTGGCCCTGAGAAGTGGGGAGGCCTGGGGACCCACACCCAGAGCTGTGACGGCATAGCACTCCCTCCTCCCCGTCTTCCAATCCAGCCTCCCAGGCCTTGGCCCCTTGTGCCTGCAAAGCCCAGGCCTGGGGGGAGGGGTGGGGTCACCAGCAGCTGGCAAACCCTGTGGGAAATCTCTAGGCGACCTGACCGAACTTCCTGTCCAGGCCTCTTCCCATGGGGACAGCTGTAGTCACATCTGGCTCTTCCCCCTTCGCTCTTGTGGACACACCAGCCGGTCCAGGAAAGCCTGGGCCAGCCGGGGGCCTGGGGTGGAGCTCAGGATGCGAGGGCACGCTCCCTTCGGCTCCTTCCGCCTGGCTCTCTCCTGTGTGCGCCCACTCAGATCAGCTCCTCAGCCTTTGCCAAGCGCCTCTTTGAGGATGCGGCATCAAGGTCAGGGGTGAGTACCAGGACCCTGGATGTAGATGACCTTGGTTAAAGGGCAGTTCTAGCTGGGCCCTCGGTCACACTCCTGTACACATGGGTGCTTTAGTTTCCTCTTCTGGGAGGCAGGGAGAAGGAACACTTGCCTCGTGGTGACGACTGGATGAGATACACAAATGGCTTAGACTTTCCCGCATGGCTAAGTGACGTGAGTGTTGACCGCTGTTGTTAGCGATAGGTATAGTGGGAAGGGTGAGCACGCAGGCCCTTGGCAGAGCACAAGCGTGCACCAGCCCCCACGCTGGACTGCTGGTGCCCAGGCTGAGCAGGACTGGCTGCTTGCGTGCATGGTGGCTCCAGGTCTGCTCTCCCACCCCAGAGTCCTGGTGAGAGCTTCCCTCTGGCCTGTGGCTCCTGGGGCACCAGGTTAGGAGCTCTGAAGAGCTGGCTCTGCGGTTTTCCTTGAGTGTTAATGACTGCCCAGGAGCAGGGAGGGGGAGTGGGGAGGTGCTCCCCTGCCCAGCAGCCAGGGGCATCCCCCCGTCCCGGGTTGTGTGTGGAGGCAGCTCAGCTGGTTTGTCCCGGTCCCTGCTGAAGGCAGCTGGTGCCTGCCAGCCCTCTCTTGGCGCACAGGGGGAGGGGTGGGGGAGTGGAGCGATCCCTGGGCTGCAGATGGAGAGGCTGGGAGATGTTGCTGCAGAGTAGGTGTGGCTGGCGCAGCCTAGCCCGGATCTGGAGCTGAGGGTGACCAGACCCATCACTCCATCGTATCCGGGCTTCCCAGCTTCCACTGTCTCCTCCATCTGCCTACCTCGCCCCTCCTTGCCATTCTGCAGCGTGTGCTGTCAGCAGATCTCCTGGGCTGGGCATGTCACTGCCCAGCTCAAAACCCAAACCCTCCTTGGGGACACGGGCACAGTCAGATTTGAGTCATGGGAGATCTACAGGCAGCCCACGCAGCGCAGGGCCAGGGTCACGGCAGATGCGGGGAAACAGGTGGGAGGCTGTGACTGTCACCCACGTGAGAGTCAGGTGATGGTGGTGTAGGGAGGCAGGTACATCCCGCTTCTGGCTGACCCTTCAGCCCTGTTCCTAACATGAGGCTCACCTAGAAGGGCCCTGGCCACAGGGTACGGACTGCTCAGCACCCCTTTGGACGGAAGACTGGACTGTGTCTGAAGCCAGCAGAGCTTGGGGGGGGTGGGGCACGCCCTGCCCTCCAGTCTGGAACACCTCCCAGTCTGTCCGTCTTCATGACACGGACCCTTCTGAAGGGTTGGTCTGCCGTTTTGTGGAAGGTCTCTCAATCTGGGGTTGCCTGCCTGGATTCGGATGGTGCCGTGGCGAGAGCCCCCCAGCAGTGAGGGTCCCCTGTGTGTCAGGCCATGGGAAAGGTTCTGCGACGTTGACTTTGACCACCTGGCTGAGGTCTCTCTGCTCGTACATTATGGTTTCCCCTTTACAACTCACGGCTTCAGATGAAATGCACTGTTTTAGTGCTTCGTTTGTAAAAAAATCTTTTTCATATGAATTTAATCTTGTTTTTTTTTAAGAGTTCAGTTGGCATGACAATGACTGAAGTTCTGATTCTTTAATCCGTGTATATGTGTGTGTGTGTGTTTAAGATTTATTTATGTATTTGAAAGGTAGAGTGACAGAGAGTGGAAGAGACAGAGAGACAGAGAGACAGAGAGAGAGAGAGATCTTCCATCTGCTGGTTTCCTCCTTGTTAGCGGCAACAGCCAGGCTGTGCCAGGCTGAATCCAGGAGCCAGGAACTCCATTCAGGTCTCCCCCGTGTGTGGCAGGGACCCAAGTAAGAATTGGGGCTGTGGGGAGCAACTCGGACTAGACTGTTACTGGAATTAAGACTTATTCTATGCATCTGCTCTCCCACAATATGGCGCTGAGAAGGGAGAACCAGCTTCTACACAGCTGCCTCCAGT